CAAGGACTCCGCTAATACAAAAGAAACAAGAAAAATGGCCCGTCACTCGTAAAGCTCATCTGGGTCAGGAACCATGGCCAAGGTCATGGGCTTAACAGAAGAAGCCCTCCTCCGATCAGCTGCCACAAAAGGCGACGTATTACGTCGAGGCGGCAGACCAACATTTCGCCGGGAACTAGAACTGTCCGAGCTGTCTCCAAGACTCGAGCGGAGACTCCGACGATCATCCTCGACGTAAGCACCCCCGCGCGCCATCGGCGTTTGAGACTGAAAGCGATCGCGTTCGTAACCGAGATCTCTTTCATCGATGGATTCGGCTAGTGATTCTCGGCCAGAATAGGATGTCCGATATGAACTGACAGACTGGCTGCGCGGTGCGGCAGAGCGAGAGCTCGATCCTTCAAGATATCGCCCGTTGGTCGGGATATACTTGAATCTGTTGCTTGACTGGGAGGACTTTTCAACTACCTCGGATGTGTAGTCTTGTTGAATCGGTCTGTAAGCGAACTCTGTTCTCTTTTGCTCCACGCGCTGGGCATCCCTCTCGGATGCCGTTTCGCCTCGCAGGTGTTTCGGGCGCGAGGCTAGTCGTACAGATAGGCGACCCGGTCGCAATGCTCCCAATGACAGTGAGTTCCGACGCGAGGCAGTTGATGCTACGCTTGAAACACTCCGGTTGTCGTCGTCTGGGTCATCATCCTTTAATGGCCGAGGGTTTCGGTCTTGTGGAGAGCAATCAGGGACATATCCCGGTCCATATGCTTGCCTCTCCGTGACTGGTCGATGGGGGTTGTCATACTGGTTCCATGATCCATCCGTAGGAACAGAAATGGACACATCGCCCCATCGAGCATGGAGAGGCTTTGCAGAGTCCGACTTCCGGAAGAGGGAAAGAGGGCCGTTGACGATTCCCGCCATGATGGCTGTGTGGAAGTGTAAGTTTGGGTCGTAAGTTCGTTAGAGTTCCCTCCAGCTCCGACAAAAGAGGACATTCGTGCTTGTGGGAAGAGGAACAAAAGTTGGGGGGAGATATAGACTGCAGTCGGTATGAAAAGCCCACGTTCTAATAAGAACTGCAAACACCGGATGACACCGGCTTGAGAGGTGGTCTTTAGGGCGCCAGACAAGACTTGGCCACTTGCACGGCTGGTGATCTCTCGTTTCTGCAATGATCCAGAAACCAACAGTGACAACGGCCTCGGATTGGACGGTGACCGGGATCACGACGAACAAGGATCTCGAGGGGTAATGGAGGGGTCGCTGGCCAATGAATATATCCTTGTTCAATCAACAAAACAAAAGCAAAACAAAATCAAAGCAATCGCACAGTCCTCCAGGGACGTACAGTAGAGACGAAGCTCGAGAGAAAACTGCCAACTCCTACGGAAGGCGTACGGATATAAAGCTTATTCTTTCCAGCCGCCCGGTCCATTTTAGTTCTCCCGAGATGCATGTCTTTCAGTGTAGATTGCATTGTAAACGCCAATATCCAATAGGGCGCGTAGGTTACCGCCCGGAGGTGATGCAGGCGGATCTGCAGGTCTGCGCTTGACAGGGATTATTGTTCCTTAATTAGCTTACGACCCCTCCCTTTTCGGCTCTTAAAATAGAAGTCAATTAACTGCAATTCACAGCTTGCAGTATGCACGTTGCGAGGCTAATGCTTTCATTTCAAATCCTTGATATTCTGTTTATCTGTGAGCAGAGTACGATCGGCTTCCCCCATATTAGGACCTCTCCATCTGAAATTTTGTCTGACGGTTGCTGTATAGCCTGTCCGCAAGGGGGTGTTATAATTTTGACGGCTGGCCCAAAACTGTTGCAGCCGGCTTAGGCGAAACTCGTAGAGTAAGGAATTAATCTAGATTCACATTTAGCGTTCGCAACCTCGCCTCTTGCAAAGCGGTATGGTGACAACTTCTGCCACCGGCATAAGTGTATGCGGAAGGAGGATGTAACCTAGCAGCATATGTAGCTAATTAGCATATTTTTAGAAATTAGCACTAGTTCCATGATTTGCTAATCTCTCCCCATGACGTCTGACTTCATTACTTCTAATGTACATGAGACAGATCATATACTGTCACCCAGTTGCCCTATGAAACGATTTACAAATAAGAAGGTACAGTGGACCAAGGGAAACCACGCAGCTGTGTAAAGTACTAGAAAACCTTCAAACCCCAACTAACGCTCACGCCTCTGGATAAGATAAAAAAGATGCATGCACAAGAATAGACAAGCCCACAAAGGATTATTAATCCAGTATAGTCATCCTGGCCGATTATGGATGTTTGGACTTTTAAGAGCTCGCCAGCAACTGGAATGGCAACGAGTGTGCCTACACTGACCAAGAAATAGTTGTACCATAACGCTTTCCGAAATCTTCTGTTTTGGAAATTTGGGCAACACAAACAGGGGAGAGACTGATTGCAGTGCCGCTCCAAAATCCAAAAAGCACGGCGAACGCCAAAATGGCCGCCTGGTTTGACTTGGATGGAAGCCAGAGGGCGAAAGTAAACACTGAGCAGACAAATGTCGTGATGATCATCACATTGAATCGTCCAAATCGGTCAGCAAAATATCCAGGACGATCCGCCAACTATGGACGCGGCGTTCAAGATAGACGATAGGTTGTATGCAATAGCATCTTCCAAGCCGCGAGATTGAGCATAGGACGGCAAATAAGTCAATGGAATCAGGAGGGTGAAATCGATCAAAACAATGGCGGCCGTCAAATGAGAAGCATGGTTCTTTCAAAGCTCTGATATCGACAGTTCCTTTTTTTTACCGAATTTAAGGATAGTCTGGTCCTCAAAAGCGCGACGCTCAGAAAGCAGAATGATGCACTTATAAATCCAATAATTCTAATAGCCCATGGGAAACCTAAACTTCCCGCGAGATTAGCGATCAAGACAGGAAATATGATTCCCCCAATGCCCCCAGCAGTCGCGGCTATGCCGGTGGCCAATGCGCGACGTCTGAGAAACCAATGAGCTATGCGAGCTATGCTAGGGGTGAACACCATTGATGAGGAGATACCGCCAAGGACACTGAATCCCAGCATGAATTGGTAATATTCTATATGAACGCTTATCATCAGTTTTCGCGGAGTCAGCTCGGTTAGTAGGGGAAAACGCACCTTCTGCAACGCTGAAGATCATCAGTGATGCGACGAGCCCAACGCATTCCGGGATCAGCAAAGGCCTAAGGCCATACGCATCAAAAAAAGGTCTATCAGTCTGCCTGCACAGTTCTGCGTTCTGCAAAGAGAATTAATGGACTTCTTACCGACTTGCACGCTTTCAAAATAAAGGAAAAACATGTACAGGCTGAATATCCAGCCGATGGAAGCTTTCGAGTACCGACGCGCTCGAAATCAGTCTCACCCGTTTACTCTCTTCGATTCTTTGTTGAACTCTGTTTTGCATGACGCCGTACCTTTCACGGTTAGCGTCCTCCTGGCCCGCATTACAGGCAATATCTTAGTACGGTAATATATAATTGCTAAAAATTGCTATCGTATCATCGTTGTATTGGGCTATACCTGTCTAAAACCACCTAATGTACTTGCAAGCAAAACAAAACAAACAGACCAGTTGGCAGGAGATTCGGTCGGCTGTTGGGCAACCATTTCGCACCTCTTTTCCTCCCTTGGATCACCCACGTTCACTCCATTAACGCAGTGAACGAGCTAGGACCCATATTTCAAAGACTCCTTCACGTTCGTCCGAGTCAGCTAACCTGCGGGCAGATAGTCTATTAATTATCTGGTCTTGCCCCGCTCGAGAGATTTGGGTTGCTTCGTCCCAAGCAACTTACCCATCATGCCACGTGGTATAAAAACACACACGGCATTTTGGATCCCGGTATGGCTCCAGATGCCGTAAGTCATTTTGTGCTGCTCTATGACATCGAGGGTTGAGTATAATCTGACTTATGGATCAGTTTTTTCTGCAATGGGGATGGACAACCGAGAACCCGATTACGGATTTTATTTCGCGTCTACACTGGGACCTTACTCCTTTTACTTCTAATTCCAATCATTTGCCTTAGCCTTGTCGGTAAATGGCACAAAACGGACGCCAAATATTGCCCCAGAATAATTCAATGTGAGAATCCTTGCGTGGTTGAGGCGGATCCCGACATCGCAGGCATTGGCGTAAGTTATTCTTAGCCGTTCGTAGCGTGCAGAAACCGCTTTTTTTTAACCCCCCGTGTATTTCATTACTTAGATGCGCGTTTCAACATACACTCAGTCCATATGTAACCTCTTTATCTTCGGATTCTCGTCGAGCTCGAACAGAAAAAGCTCTACATACAGCACGCTCGTCGTCACTTCCTTAGCAATAGTTGTCACGATTGCGATTTTCCTTTGGCAAGGCGCACTGAGCCTTCATCACGCGACTGTTGCTTCGAAATTACTCACAATCACGCTCTTGCCGATGCACGTTATCGAATCCTGGAGGGTAGATTCACCGGGATTATTTATTGCGCAACAAGTACGACTGATCATGTACATTGCCGTGCAATTCTACCTAATCATCCATATGCCTTGTCTTGGAAGCGATCCACAATGCAACCTTTGTGCTCGATCCTCCACATTCTTCATGGGTAGCCACATCGTCACGCCGATCAACCGATCATATCAATTGATTCTGATGCTATGGGTTGTTTACTTCTGGTTCAGGCAGAATCTATGGACATATGGGCCCCTTCACTTGTTTCAATCCTTGCGGACTCCATTGTCGGATACGTCACACCAGGCTTGGCTGTGGTACAATAATGAGACTCGGCGATCACTCACCGAATGGCGGCAGGCAGACCTGCGGATTGTCCGATCTAGGAAACCGAAAGTGTGGTCTATTACCACGATATGGCTGTGGATGGATGACGACCAAACAGCTAGGGAAGGCATCGAACAGCGGAAATGGCGGACGTCGCCGGTTAGTGCAAGACAAATTACATGGTTTTGTAGGGTTTGCGACGATGCAAAACTCGTCATGGGTATTCCACGATGCCAACGAATGATAGTTGCGCTATTTATCGCTGGAATACTGATCGCAAATTGCGAGCGAACAGTGCGCATGAACCTTACGGCATCTGGCAGCAAATGGGGTTATGGCCAGATCTTCGCCCTTGTGGCAACGCTGCCGGCTGTCACGGAGGTTACCAAGTTGCTACTGCGGCTAGGACGAAAACCTAAGTAAGTTGGACAGCTTCCGTTCAATGGGGTAATAATGTTGATTAGTACTAGCCAACCTCTCAAGCGCATGTACACTCTGTGAATACTATGAGAGTACAATATGATGGATATATGTTGGAGTTTGCGACTGCCTCATCCTTCCTCTCCCCTTTTGCCTTTTGATAGGAGCTTCATTCACTGTAGATGAATCCTCTCTCTCTCTTTCTCTCTCTTCCATAGATGTAGTCATCTATCAAAGATTTCTTTCTTCCATGGGCTTCGTCATCAATATCTATATTCCTAGGTTCTAGACAACCTTTGGCCCATACATCCTTGATACGATAGCTATTTTTGTGCCATTATTTATTACCGTACCAAGATACTGCCAAGAGTGTGGGTCGTACGTGTATAGCGTTGTGCAAAATAAAGTTCGAGAAGGATTGAAATGAGTAAAGACATGAGACTAATTTCGAGCGCATCTCTAGCCTTTCAACTGATGATCTGCCAACCAAGCCTCGAACACGCCGATTGTATTCATAAGCCCAATGAGGGCACCATCGTGCAGCAAGCGCCAATATTGGCACTCCACGCGCGCCACCCACCATCTGGAAAACTATGTCGCTGTCTTGTTCCATTTCATTTCAAGGGTCGCTTGAATATTCGCCCTCCGTATTCGCGGGTGGCGTGAAACGCAAGCTTAAACCGTTGCAAACATTTAGCTTCATACTGGCCTCATCCACAGAAATGAGAGAAAATTGCAAGATGCAGCTCTACTCGGAACAACTGCTTTTCTCCCTTCAATGAAAGATCTTATATTAATTCAGAAATTAAGCCTTTTTGGGACGCCGAACACGCTAGACCTTTTTGGGATATCGGCAGGATTAGTAGCCTCTCGTCGCTCCACACAAGGTCAATCGCGTCTCTGATTGGTTCGGTCACAAAGGGCTGACCCCTTGGACGGGACTTTCCCGCTTATCCCTGATTAAGACTAGCGGGAATGCAGCACATATAGCTCTACTCAGTAGCTTGGTGCATTCGTGTGAGTGATCAAATTCCGTAGCATGAGCGTCAGACTGCTGTAAAGGTGCTTTCCACGTCAAGCAACTTTGCACCATATTCTCTGTTTGCACTTTTCAAACTTTCCTTCAAACTTTAAATCACCTGACCTGACAACTTTGTCGTCATTTCCATGTTCGCCTCCAGTTATTCCTCCTTCACCCCCGTGCACGCTCACTATGGACGAAATGGAGTATCTTCCTAAGATGCATGGTGAAGTGATCACTACACCCCGCACGAAGCTTTCGGAGTCTTATTTCATCCCCGAACACGACTGGATCATTCTTCGAAAGATGGATGAGCGTCCAAGCTTGATCAGCCCAGAGGATTTTCAGCAAGGCATGCGCCCCGCCTTCACCGCTGGAAAATATTATTGTCGTCTTGCAGGTGCCGGCAACGAGAACAACTTTGCTTTTATGCGCATCTACAAACAGATTCCTCTGGATGGTACTCGCCTTGACAATGCAAGTGACAGACGGGCCCAGGCCTCTAAGCCACGAAAGCATCCGGAGCCAGAGGCTATGATGCGCCTTACAGGGGACCGATCCACTGCTAGCCCTAAAGTCCGTGGGTACCGAACTGGCATACAAGATGCAAACGACCTTGTCCCCGACGGATATATCATCTATCTGGTATGGGAAGAGGTCAAAGGATTTTGCTCCCTTGATCAGGAGTATTTCTGGAGCCTTCCCTACAAAAAGCGACAGTTCATCCGTGAAAAGTTCAAGATAGCCTTTAGGTCTGCCTCTAACTCTATTATGGCTATACTTTGAGCTGACTGTAATTAGTGAAGTTATGAAATCTGGGTACAAGCCGGTCCCTACAACCCCGTCAAAGATCATAGTCAACAAGGACACAGGTGATGTGTATGCTTCACGCTATCCTTTGCAACCTCGTGCTAATGACTCGACTCGCAGCAAAATCTCCGGTTTTAAATGGGCTGTTCACATAGATCCAGATACGAAATGGACAGACCACTTCTTCGATATTTTTTACCTAGTTCTGTCCTCCTCCAGGAGGGGCAAGCACCTTCCCAACCTGGCGACGGATCTGCAACTTGACGAAAAGACCGGCTGGAGGTGGTGAAAGGGACGGTTACATACGTTGTAGGAAACGAAGTGGAACCTAGGTTGCTTTATGTCGAGCATTTGACCAACTAGCTTGAGAAAGTTACTAGATAAACCAATTTCACAGCGACCTTATTATCACAGTTCCTAATGCTTCGTGGCCGAGGATGTCGCTTCCAGTTAAGCAGGGCAATATGTACTGGTAGCACATATTAACTGATAACAAGGCACAGCTGGTGCTTATATTGGCATAAATCTACGAAAAAAGTATATTGTCAAACCTAAAAGCTATGGTATATCAGAAGCTAATCGGTCCACTTTACAAAACACTACGGATTCAGCTACTTACTATGTAAGACCTACGCCGTAAAAGAAGCTACGAAAACCAAAACACCAGGAGGCTAAGAAATGCAAAACGCAAGAAAATCATGAAATCATGAAAATGAAACACGCTAAAGAATAAAAGCGAAGATAACAATGAGCAAGAGAACAACAACACCAGGACATGAAAGAATCAGTCGGCAAAAGCAAGAACGACACACGAAAGGGAACGGATGTAAAGAAAACGACCAGCGTGAAGAGAGGCAAAACCACATACGAAGACCTCAGCGTTCCATAATCAGATGATCCTTTGGTTCGGGGTTGGTCACAGGTTGCCCCAAAGCAGCTATCCGGGCCAGGTACCAAAAGCATTGCTTTACCGAAACATCGGTGGTGTTGTTATTGTCAATAACGCATGAATATTCCAGTCTCCATAATCCCTGGATCTGGGTGTGACGCAAGAAGATTGTCTGGTTGTATGTTGAGTGAAACCCATAAGGAACTTTTAGGTCAATCATATACTCCACGACTTGGCCAATTGTCGCACGCAAACTGTCCAAATCTTTATTGTCTTCGTCTAGTCGGTGGGCTTTAATCCAGGGGACTTTCAGTTCGCCCACAGCCTTCAGTGTAACTGGAGTACCGCGGGACACGATCGCCACATCTGGGATGTTCCGGTATTGACGGCCAGCCGACTTAAAGTCGGCGAAGCGAATGTCCACACCTCGTGCTTCAGAGACCGCACCAATAACATGCCCAACGGCCTGCTGGAACCTTCCCTGGACACCCGTCTCATCGGCGACATAAACCTGCTCCAATTTGATATCGCGGCCCTTGAGGCTGTGGTCGATGACATTTCCCCCTGATGGGAGCATGCTAGCCAGGACACCTGCCTTAAAGCCGGTCCATGGCGCGATAGGTCCAGTATAGTGGATGTCTTGCATTGCGGAGGATGTAGTCTTGTTCGGTGCCTCTAAAAGACCAGGAAGACGACTTTGGAGCGCGTCACGCGAAAATATCGGCGGCATGGTGTTAGGTAGAGCTGAAAACGGCTGTTTGCTTAATATGCGAATCAAGCTTCACGCGGAGGACGCTTGGGGAAGACTCACGTCTGAGAGATGATGATGGGAACCACGATATCGAGGACGACGACGCTGACGGTGGTGGGGGGAGGAGAGTGATGATTATGGGACACGAGTGATGCTGATGGGACACGATTGATGCTGATGGGACACGAGTGATGCTGATGGGACACGAGTGATGCTGATGCAACGCAGAAAGGGCAGAAAATGGCAGCCAGCGTGAAGTAGCCAAGAAAATACTGTGCTGGAAGGCAGAACATATTCCCAAGCTCCCAAAATCCTAAGTGGAAAAGTCAAGTGTACACTGGCTTCCTTTGAATCTGTGCCTGTCGGTGTTAACCATGCTCGCGAATGTATGCTGCTTTCTGTAGAACAAGGTCATTACATTTTGATATGCGTTTAACTTGTCAAATCTGTATCACGTAAAGGGGTCGCCCTCTTGGTAAGAACTCATATTGTATGTCAGGACCTCCTGCCTGTTATCGGAAGGACCAACGCTCCGTCTTTTGCAATGCATCACCTATTGTTCTACATGCTTCAGCTAGAATTTTACTTTCCCGCACGTATATCAAAGTGACATTGTTGCCGGTCAACAAATTACCTGCTCAATCCCTCACATTTTGATATGTAAATATGTATGTATCTGATACAGTGGATATACTACGTCCATTCAGCCCTTCTTAGATAGTTTCTGGTGCACATGTTTATTGAAAATCAGGCCAAAATCCTATAGTTGATAGTTTGGCTCGAGATTTGGTTCATGAAATAGCGTGAAAGGGGAACGACTGTTTAAGGAAACAGAAATATACTTGTTTACTACAGTACTATAGCACAGAGTTCCTTAATACACACTCTTCAACCACCAAAACCGTAACAATCGGAAAAGACAACCACCCACTGATTGCCGGCTCTGACGGAAAACCCCAATCGGCGAGCAGGGATCGTCAACCGCTACAGTATGAGAATACGACAGTATGTCCGCTGAGAAACCTTCTGCGACCAAGCCTCTGATCTCTATATCAATTGTGGCGATGAATCCCGCAATGGAACGGTGTGCGGAACTAGCGAGTCAGCAGTTGCATTCATTGGCGGCCGTCCCCACAAGGGTACCTACGATTCAACTACTTCGATGATGATGATGATCTGTATTAGGCTAGGCAAGAGGATTCGCTTGTCATGCTGTATGTCGATTAGGGCAGTGTATTGTCCGAGTCAAACGGCCCCCAGACAACAGAATTTGATTTGGCACAATAGGCAATTGTCGGAATCTTTTGGATTAACCTAGAGGACCCAGCTGTCGCACTAGGATCAATTCCCTTGGTGGCCATGAAGATATCAGAGCACTGGGCCACTGAAAGACACGTGGCATCATTTGTTGCCCTCTTGACGAGGACGCCATCTTGTATATAGGGAGTTCCTGCTAGCTCTTGCAAAGACGAGCGTTCAAACTTTGATAATATATCAATACTTGTTTCATGCCCTGCGGCTAAGCTTCTAATTCCGTTGCCCGGATACCAGAGAGGCCCATTTACGGGGTCTAACGATTACCTACTTATCCCTTCTAGTTTTTTGAGACACTGCCAATTTTGCGATGAATTGTAAAATCTTTTTTATTGTAGAGTGAGAATAGCAATATATAAAAATAAAACAACAACATACAATAGTAAGGATTCGCTAGTGGTCACCCACCTAACTATTAAGTTACCGGCATGTGGCTTATATGCGGCTAGTAGTCGGGTGGGTGTCGCCCGGGTGGGTTTAGGGTGAGCACTGCTTTAGCGTCGCACGACTGGGGGTGAGCGGGATGAGTGCGTAATAGGCAGGGTGAGAATCACCTAAGTCGCGCGATCACTGCACTAACTCCCTTAGCTAAACAATAACAGAATGTTATTAGATCGTAGCGTTCTCTCTAAAATGCTAAACTAACTACGGGAGTAGATTTAGAATCCTTTCGCTTAGGCCGGCCCCCTAACAAGCCTCCTTCGGGGACTTCATAGTACTATATAATATCGCCGCTGCCACTCTTTCTCTAATAAGGTAGAAACTAGGGTACATATATTTGATAGGGGGAGCGGAAATTGGGAGTGGGAACAGACTTTTGATGAAACGTAGAATGTTCGAGGGTTCAGTTCCCAAAGCCTAGCCTTGAAGTTCTCCCAGCATAGCTTCTATCTCGCCATCGAAATGTCTCAAGAAATCTTCCAACCCACGCGCCGTACTCCATCCCAGCCTATTACGAGCAAAATCGGCCCGAGCTCGCGCACTAAATGAAACATTAGCATGTCACCCCAAAGATATCAGAAAGTCACATACTTCGATGCCAGGGTGATCTCCACAAGGCTCTCATTGCCTTTGGTGATTTCCGCAGCTGCTTCCTTGAGACTGATTGACTTGACTTCGTTCGTCGCCAGAAGACCCCTCTTGTGCATGGCATCGGCAATACCCTGGCTAACCTGAAGCCATGTATGTTCGCCACTTTCGACGAAGAAGATAGCCTCCGGGCCAGAAGGAAGCCAGCTCTGCTTCTGAATGACAGCACGGAAGAGCATAAGGTAGAACGCGGAGAGGTCGTCCATGTGGACATGGTTCCAGATCTGTCAATACAAACAGTCAGTAAATAAAATAACTTCACCCGTTCGTATTCACACATACGCCTTTGCCGCTTTCAATCACAGCAGCATATCCACGCCTCCGGGCCAAGCGTGCAAGATTAGGGACCTGTTGACTGAGAGTCGCAAATGGACCGGATCCCTTTCCATCTGCTAAGTATGAGCAGGTAAATCAATCTCTTGACATTGATTCAACGTACAAATGGTAGGAGGGACGACGATATACGTCTTCACACCAAGACTCAATCCTGTTTCGACAACGGCAACATCGGCGACTCGCTGTCCGTAACGTTCAGGGTAAGACTTTTCCATGGCATAGATATTGTCCTCGTCGGACCAAATTTTCTCCTGCGCGGTGGCGGTATAAGGGTGGTCGCCCAGAATGGAGGTACCCGATGTCTAAACTGTATCAGTTTCCGCTCTCAGTAGCTGCACAACGCGAAGAAGGAAACTCACATGGATCAAGTACGAGCCTCTTCCTGTGGCCTTCTGTCTCAGAGCCAGACCCTCGATCAGCGCCTTGGCAGAGCTGTCATGGGAGGCAGATGCGGCATTGATCACAACTGGAGAAACACAGTCAGTTAAAGAAGGATACATGTGAGACAGATTGATTTAAATACCATCATTTTTGGAAGCTGCATCCCTGCAGCCCTCTAAGTCATCCAGTCCCTGAAACTGCAGTGACTTCACGCCCAATGCCTCAAGCTTCGCCGCCTGTTCTGGGCGACGGATGAGGGCCGAAATGCTCAGCTGGGAAGCTTCCGGAGACCGCAGTATCTCGGAGAGAACTGATCCGCCACTATTGGAGGGTCAGCCGGGTTACCCTTCCACTATTTTGCTATTGCTGGACGTGTGAACGTACATGTACCCAGTTGCGCCCACAATGAGCACTTGTGTCTTACTGTCAGCCATTTCGGATTCTTGTTGAGAGATTTTGCCGGCGCGATTTGAAGAAATCAAGAGGTTCTACCAGCGGACTTTAATAGTTTTTTGCCAGAGACTCATGAAATCATGACAACAAGTATGCTCATTACTAATTTGCCCGAAGGTAAAATTCAGAAACAAAACTCTCCGGATTACCAATGTGAAGTTCGAGGAGCTCTTTTGCATTTACTTTATGTTATGAATGCAAAATCATAGAAATGGATCCACAGGTTGGACCTTCCTCGCCTTTGGTGCTTCGGTGAAGCCGGATTTCTAATCAGGTGGGTACTTTGCTGAGCCAGCAACTGAGTCTGTTGGACCATCGGACGGCCGAGAGGGAGGACCAGGAAAACATTGAAGAGAATGAGGCGATCAAGGAAAACGAAGACGACACTGCGCCTATCAGCGATATTGACGAGATTGATCTTTGGTCTACTTGCTTTTTGAGGGCAGAATGCCAGCGAGGGTCGGAAGGGCCGATAAGTGGGGCGGCCCTACCAACACTAAATGGCACCACCCTTATTTTATCCCGGCTGATGTTAGCTTAATGATCAACATTGGAGAAGGAGACCTATATAAACAAACTCGAGTACTTGCTGGCTCATAAGAACACGATTGACTTGAGAGCCAAGAGCCTTTTAACTACCTTTTCATAGCTCTAGGTATTGTTCTCGTCCACGACAATTGGATCTAACCCGGAAACATCAACACCCTGCCCTAGCGAAGTTCAATAGAGATGGCGTAGGGACGTATATCAAATACTTCTATACATAACTGACCTAACCCTCATAATCTCGCTGAGGCCGGTCTGCGGAATGAAAAATCTCCAACGCTGCATGCCCACCACTGATATTCACACGCCCATCAACCTTGCCACATACTATTCATCCTTATCAAGGCTCTTGTAATATTTTGACACTGTTACCATCTGTTTATCCGAAATAGGGTGTGAGATATAACAAGAAATCGTGACCAAAGACCAACCCAAGGACGAAAAGTGACTTACAAAAAGCAATATGGTTCTTGATATCCGCCGCTGCATCGTAGGGTTCCCGGTAATACCACGCTGCGTTTTCAAACGTCTGCCCGTCCACCCTCACATGCCAGTAAGAGGCGTAGCCTTTCCAAGAGCAAAAGGTCGAATGATCGGAATCTTGCAAAATGGAATCATCGATGATTGCTGAGCGGGGAAACTATATTTGAAGTTAGCCAATATTGCGAATTAAATCTCGTAAAGCTTACATAGATGTTATTCTCCACAGTCTTCCAACTCGATGTCTCTGCGATGATGCGGTCGCCTACTTTGGCGAGAGCTCGGGGCATGGTGATAGTTCGGGAAACGGAAGGAACGTGAAGCAGATTTGCGTTTTGGATTATCGAGTGGCGGAATCTCGAATTCTCAATATAGTAGGGTAAGTTATATGGGAATTCTCCTATATTGTTGCTCTTGAATACAACTTGATAAAATGGATGTGAGCGCCATCGGAGAGGGACAGTGCTCACACTAAAGAGCGGGCCAATGCGTATCCCCCGTTGGCGCCATTTCAACCCTCCGATTCAAAGCTCCGACGGCGAATAGGATGGGAACGACCTGCAGGTGCCTATCTTACAGTGCCTGGAGATCGAACAGGCTTAAACTGGCAAATCTAGTACTCATATTGCGCGTTGATGGCGCCTTCTTCTCGCAAGTCGCTTTTCCAACTAGGATAGCTTAATGGTGCTAAGACGCGGAAGTTATCTAACGTTAAGCTAGACTTTTTCGATGGCGCTATAGCGTGCTTGTGCGTTGCTCCATGCGCGCGTCTGGGTGGTTAATATATTGCTCGATGGAAGACAATTTTTTGAACTGTTGAACATGTTCTGAAAGGCTTCACTCTTTTTTTAACAACTGTTACTCGCGAAAGCACAGGAACACCATGCCAGGAACTGAAAAATCTGTCTCCTCGGAGCGAGCTAGCAAAGAAGCTACGGACTATGTCGTTGAATCCAAAGATGTGTTCGATAGTTCCGTCTTCGACCCCGTTTTGGCTAAAAAGCTGGCCCTTATCAACACTGCCATCGACAAGATTGGCATGACTCCATTTCAATGGAAGCTATTCTTTCTGAACGGCTTTGGCTACACGGTTGACTCGGTAAGAGCCTTGTATTTATGGTTAGACAAAAAGACCACCCCTAACAATTTCTTCCAGCTCTTGGTAATATGTCAGTCCATAGCAATGCCCGCAGTTACCATGCAATACGGCAGCCCAGACAAATCCCTGAAGGGGATTGCTCTGGCATCACAAATCGGTCTTCTGGCGGGCGCAGCTATTTGGGGCCTATCGGCAGATATCATTGGTCGCAAAATTGCTTTCAACTCTTCCTTGTTGCTGGCGGCGATATTTACAATTATCGCGGGTGGGATGCCCGGTTACATTTCATTCGCGACATTGTTGGTTTTACCCTTCTTCGTGCGCCGTAATGGTCTGTTAATGTTATTGATAGGGTTGCTCTCTACTCCGCGGCCGTTGGCGGGAATTACATCCTGGACTCGGTTACTCTCCTGGAATTTCTGCCCGCGAATAAATCCTGGCTGGTCACCTTCATGTCCATTTGGTGGGCAGTGGGATATACTATTACAGGCCTGCTTGCATGGGCATTTATGAGCAACTACACTTGTTCCTCTTCTGCCGGGCCAGGGACATGTACCTACCAAGACAATATGGGATGGCGGTACTTGCATTTCACCATTGGTGGCGTTACGCTCGTGTTGAGCTTATTGCGAGTCTTTTTAATTCGCATCGTGCAAACGCCCCGATGGCTCGTCTCTCAAAATCGCGATGAAGAGGTAATCCAGTTCTTGAGAGATTTGTCGATAAAATATAACCGACAATTTGATCTCACTTTGGAAGAGCTCCGCGGCGAAGGGGATGTGAAGAACACGGAAAAATCAGTCTGGTCCGTTGTCCGGATCAAGGCACACTTCAGTGGTCTCTTTCGAACTAAGCGGTTGACCTGGTCGTTCCTCGTGATCATGCTCAACTGGTTCGTGATTGGGATTGTCAGTCCTTTGTACCATGTGTTCCTTCCATATTATCTCAAATCCCAGGGAGTGAAAGTCAACAGCAGCTCCAACTATCTCACTTGGAGAAACTATGCGATCAATCAAGTCGTTGGCCTGGTTGGTCCTGTCATTGCTGGGGTTTTGGTTGAAACCAAACTGTTCGGCCGTCGAGGCACCATGGCTTTGGGCGCGCTGTTGACCATGGTTTTACAGTTTGGGTACACACAGATCAAGACTCCGGCCCAAAATGTCGGCGTGTCTGCTGCCATATCTGCTGCGACGTAAGTGATGAGCTCCTTTCTTCCTCTCATGATGTCTAACTAGCTGGTTACAGGAATATCTATTATGGAACTATGTATGCGTACACTCCGGAGATTTTGCCGTCGGCGCACCGCGCCACTGGGTATGCCATCTGTGTGATATTCAACCGCGTCGGAGGCATTGTCGGAGTTATTGTGGGAAGCTACGCGAACGTCGAGACAACCACACCTCTATTCGTCTGTGCTGCCCTGTACGCACTTCTTATCATCCTCAGCGTGCTGTTGCCTTTCGAAAGTCGCGGGAAGAGAGCACAATAGGCGGAGAAAGTGGAGTTTATGGAGGAAGATCTGGGAGGGTATATTGGTGATGGATGAAAGTTTGAGACTGCTTAGTTTCAGATAGACGGTGATACCTCACTTGATTCTCAGGGTCTGTGATAGATAACTAAGTTACGGAGAATAAGCGGAATATTCAACTTGGCCATTTTGAATCTAGATTGTTAGTGGAAACCAACCAGGGGCAATGAAACGTCAATCATAGTTAAATTTGAATATGCGGTTCTCGTATTAAGCTGCAGAATGCCATTGGGGGTTATTATGGCGTCATTCGTATCTGGATAAATCGTTTCAAGATAGGGCGCACATACCTCAACAGTTTCTACACATACCGCTAACTAACCTCTTTGTCCCTGGCCTATCGTATTAGCCTTGAGTTAAATCATATTATCCAAGAAATAGACGAATGGGGTTTGATATATATCGCATCAATAACGCACTGTGTGATAAAAATACGATTTATCTTGTTTGAAAACCGTACCTGTTCAAGCACGACATTCTGTCGGATAGGCAAGCCATCTACATTTGATAATGAGGCCAAAGACTTCGTATTCTTTATAGCGTCGCAGGGTACCAATAATAAGAAATTAAAGAAAAGCCAAAGTCATACGCAACAAAATCCATTCTGGAGGTCCCTGATAATCTCTCTACCTCGAGATGAGCGCTTCGAAGCCCTCATTGCGAGCCGCGTGCGATAACTGCTACCAAGCCAAAGTAAAATGCGTTCCAACACCATCTGGATGCCAAAGATGTATTAGCTTGTACTCTCCCTGTTTTCACAGTCCCCCCGGTCGACCGGGTCGAGTTCCAACTGTGAGGAATCCTTCATTCAACCCAGAAGCGTCAACCATGTCCACTCCGAGTCAGGGCAAAGAGGACGATGAGCCTGGCGACTTACATCTATCATTACGGGGCATCATTGGCGACGGTGCTCTTCCTGAAACTGCAACACTCGATACACCATTGAACGGATGGGTCTCTATGGACCCTCCTTCAATCAGTGAGGCACTTTATGGAGAGTCGGTCATCGCGTTTCCCGAGTTCGCAACGAGATTACTACACTCAACGCCCACCGATCGACAATTTGACGATTTTGGCAATGATAAAATATCTTGCGCATGCTTTGGGTCAACTTTACAAGCCTTGGAAAAGGCTCAGAGGACTGATCTACGATCTTTGGGCCTGGATGTCGCACTCCGACATAACAAAGATGCATTGCTCACAGTATGCAACTCGATTAAATGCTCTATTTCGCACGACAGCACTACCCGACTCCTCATTCTAATACTTTTACGAAAATCCCTCAAGCTTTATCAAATACTCTTCCATCTGCGACTCGGTGCGAAGTCCATCAATACACCAGAAATGAATCCCGCGTCAGCCCCATATTCTATACACGTGGCCAATCCCACTTTATCGATTTCACCTACGTCGAGTGGCCAGTCCGATTATTTCAATCTCTTGGTTCATCCACAAGCAGAGAAGCGCCTAGGAAGCCCGCCACAGGCTACTCGACTTACATTGGGCTCGTACCAGTTAGATGAAGCCGATGAAAGGTCGTTGAAAAAGCAAATATTTCTCCTTGACGTTGGAAAGGTTCCTCGATTGTTGGAAAGGCTCGATCAAAGAGCTTGCAGCCTTGATGATACAGACGGGTTAGACCTTTATAATATGATGCGGAGCTCATTGATAGCTGATTTTCGGGTTGTGATGACAGACATTCATTCATAGAATACTAGAGATAAGGTTATAGAATCATAAAGCGATTTTCATGCAATTTCGTATTCTGTATAGGGACCAGAGGTACCCGGTACATTCTGCTATCTATATAAATTTCCGTCTAAGGCAATGTCAGTAAAACATATGTTGATCCCACATGTCGCTATCGAATACCCGTCTAATTCAATTGCCCACAAAAGGATCCGATCTACCCACGTCCGTTCCCACAGTCTCCGGCTCGCAGTTCAGACTTTGCCCGACTTAAATCCATGCTTGAAGAAGCGAGTGGCACTCATAAACGCCCCGGTCGCAAGTAGTACAATACCTGTGAAGATGAGAGTTCCCGTAAAGTCCAAGCGCTCTTCTGGATGACTCTCGCTGGATAGAATCGCACCCGCAATGGGAGAGCCGATCAGCACACCCAATGACCCAACACTGAGAGCCATGCCAACTCGCACACCGATTCGACTGAGGTCCGGTGTTAAACCAACGAGAACGGCTGGTGGTAGCGCCATCAAGCCTCCCGAGAAGAAGGAGTACAGGAAAGAAGTGGCGATGAGATTGGCTTGGCTTTTCACTGACACCCAGGCCAACACGATAATACCAGATATATAGCCACAGGGTACGATGACGTTCAAATTACCGAGTCTATAACCGTTAGTTTTTTGCGGGTCACTCAAAGAGAAATAAAACCATACTTGTCTGCGATAGCATTGGGCAACATTCGTCCGATCATGCCTCCAGCATTCATAATGCTCAGGATATAGAATGACAGCTCGGAGTCGACTCCGATGTTGAGAGCATAGCTTTCTGCGTAGAAAAATGGAATGAAAAACGCGGTGAATCCCAAAGCCAATCCAACTACAAAGGTCGCGTAGGCGGGATCCTTGAACGCTGCAAAGTCTACCAAAGGGCCCGACCGACGAGGCGGCAATCGTGGTCTGAGCAAGGCAAGTCCAATTCCCAGAGTACCGAGCATGATAAATGCCATAGCACGAACAGCCCAAGGGAATCCAACTTGCACAATTAGCCGGCGAACAATGATAGGATACAAAATTCCGCCAACGCTGCTCCCGCTGGCAGCGATTCCAGTTGCGAGACTGCGTCGAGTCGAAAAGTATGTGCCTACCAGGGATATGGCGGGCGTGAAAAGGCATCCAGATCCAAGACCAACGCAAAGGCCTTGAGCGAGGAAAATCTGATAGTACTTTGTGCTCAGTGAGGTCATCATCATCCCAAACACTTCAAGGAAGATACCCAGTGACAAGACCGGGAAGAAGTACCCAGCGTCGAATGCACGTCCGCAGAGAACTCCGATGAAAAGGAGTAAAAAGCCTTGAATGGAACCGATCCATGAGATGGCGGAGGGGGTGGACTCCGGTAGGAGTGTTGTTGTATAGTAGGCTTGGAAAATGCCGAATGAGTTTGCAAGTCCCCTAAATTATCAGCACAATTGGTTTTCAACAACCTTAAGAAGGATATCCCTCTCACCAGGTATTCAAAACAAGCAAGAAGCTTCCTGCTACTTGCAACCAGGCTTTACGCCCGCCATTGGGAGGAGGAGGGACCAATGGAACTGGTGCTGGAATTGAACTGGCTTCTTTTTCTCCTTCTGCGTCAGATGGCTGGGTGCTGTTTGCCTCAGTATCAGGGATTTTAATCGATAGTTTGTCTTCCACAGAGTCGGCCATTTTTTTCTTAATGCTGAATTGCTGTGTTCAGTCGGCGAGTTGAACAGGCGGGATGGGATGGTGAGTTGAACCACGACCCGAAGAAATATATCCAGAAAGGTCGCGCAATTACGTTTTCCAACGCGACAGGGAAATACGATGTCACCAAATGATTGCATGAATGTTATCATCAGGGTCCATCGTCTGCATCAGGAAAAGCCCAAAATAGCATTTGCAGGGATCCCGACTAGAGGAAACTATATCTTATGAATCGCGAGAGGCCAAAGCGAAGCGATCGTCCATTCATTCCTCCATGGGGAATTGTGGCGCTCGAGACAAACACGGCGATAATCACGGCAAAAGAAACAAACATAGTATACTGAGTATACTGAGTATACATCAAGTGAATCCCCGATTAACATGAATTCAATTATTCTGCAATTGTGATCAACATGGCTATCGTGAGAGAACCAACGGTCGGGACATTCCTTCAGGGCAACTGGTCAATTTTATTATTGGTAACTGTCGCTATTACCATTGGCATCCGATTGATCCCTTCGCGGGCCAATGTTCCTGTCTATAGTAGGTATTCGGGCTGGCGAGGTCGCTGGAAGGACTCGCTGCACTATCTTCACGACAGTGCTGGAACCTTGAGAGCTGGCTACGAAAAGGTAACTTCCAAGGATTGTCTCAACAGACTTATACTCACCAGACATCAAATTAGTTCTCTCGTCACGGACAATTCTTTCAACTTCGGACGCCCATCCGCTGGATTGTAGTTGTGCCGCCTAAATTCGTGGATGAAATTCGCACCGCACCGCCAACGCATTTGAGTGCTAAAGAGTCGGCAAACGATGTAAGCAAAGCCACTATTATAAGGGGACTTTATCTCATGAAAGTGTCAGGTGCTTCAAACTAGATACACAGTGTCTCCAATCGTCGAGGCAGAGAAATTTCATTTCCACATTGTCAAGACACATCTCACGCCCAACCTGGAGAACAAAATCGATGATATTCGCGACGAAATCAAATTGTCATTTGGAGACGAGATAGGAAACCCAACCGGTGAGATTCCCAGACCCCGTCAACCAAAGGCCCTTTCTCATCTTTGTGTAGATTGGACGGCGGTCGTGATGTCTAGAGCAGCTCATCGGATCGCAACCCGAACTGCCAATAGACTACTCGTCGGGGCACCGTTGTGTCGGAATGAGGAGTATCTTGATATGTCTATCAAATATACAATAGATGTATTCGGAGGAGCCGACAAGCTTCGCGCCTGGCCTAAGTTCCTTCGCTCAACGGTCACGCAATTTGTGACCAACGTTAAGGAACGGCAGAGGGTAGCTCGAAAATATCTCATCCCGTACATCAAAGCTCGTTTGCAGGAAGAAAGTCGTGGATTACTTGAGAAGCCTCCCGTTGATTCCCTTCAATGGGTCATGGACGCGGCACCAAATTCCAGCGAGAGAGATCCGGAGCGGCTGATGTTTCGTCTACTGCACTTGAATGTGGCGGCAGTGCATACAACAAGTGCCACTTATCTCAACGCGATGTTGGATCTGGCCTTCCATACTGAAATTCATGGAGAGCTTCGAACCGAGATTGATAGCGCAGTCCAGGAGCACGGATGGTCGGGGCGAGCATTGAGTCAAATGCGGAAGCTCGACAGCTTTTTGACTGAAAGCCAGAGGCTCTCTCCTCTTGCCAGCTGTGAGCTTCAAACTTCAGGATCAAACTTCACAGCTAACGCCTTATTTCCTAGCCCAATTGACTCGCGCGGTGATTCAGGATTTCACATTCTCTGACGGCACGACTGTTCCCAAAGGCTCCTATGTTCTAGCACCGATGTATGCGATGTATTTGGATGACGATATCTATCCCAATGCGTCGACCTTTGATGCATTCCGCTTTTCCAAGCTTCGAGAGCAGCCCGGTCACGAAAATCGACACCAGTTTGTGACTACATCTCCGACACATATCAACTTTGGACACGGCAAGGACGCATGTCCTGGACGCTTCTTCGCAGCGCAGGAGATAAAACTATTGTTGGCTCATGCTTTGCAGAGTTACGATATCCGGCTTGAAGATCCAACTAATCTGCCTGAGGGTTCTTGGTATGATCGTTCTCGAAAGCCTAACCAAACCGCGCGTGTTCTTTTCCGCAGTCGTTAAGATTTGTCACCCGATGCTGCTGGTCCTTTTGACGTTATTTTCCTTAGATTGCTTTCAGTGTTTTCCACTTCTAGAGTGATAGTATTCCAAGTTACAGCAAATTGCAACACTATTTTTTCCATGTCATCATGCCATTATGTAGTACGTAGGTCCTAAATGGTATTAGGGGAAACCACTGGCCGACAACACGTGTCTTAGTATGCAATCGACTGAGTATTTCTGTAGGCGAGGTACACCCCAAAATAGAATAGGAAGACCATGCCTGCAGACCTTTGAGCAATAAACTCAGATATCGGCCCCAAGACAACTTCCGAGAACGTACGGATAAGAGTCGAAACGGACGAAGAGTAGGTTCCGATAAACATTAGAGTTTCGGAGGATTTCAACGCCTCGTTTCATCTGTTTTTATTCACCTCATGCTATCCTCCGATACCACCATCAAGCAGTAAAATTGCGCCCCTCTTTCAGACAGAGGCAATGACAAGCGAGGTGTAAGATCGTGCGACACGTGGATGAGGTGATAAGATCTATTTGCAACGAAAGCGCTGTCTACACGACATCTTGCCCCTGCAGATTGGCTTGACGGGTATTCTAGAGCTCATTGTGAAGAACGGAGAGATTGCAATCGAGAGAGCGTATGGCGCAAGGTAGTCCAATGCGCAGAATACGAGATTTCGACTCGACATGAAAATCGAAGCTAAGAGATAACGACGATAGTTGTATCGATGGCTAAGGTTGCTGTTATTCCATTATAAAGCCGTTCGTATGGCCTAGCATCAATTAGGAGCTTGAACTATCAGCATCAATACCCTCATCATATTTTGTACATTGTGCACATCATGCACCGGCCAAATCAAACACAAGAACGTCACCTAGTTCTCCTCGGGGACCAAGTGGGCAATGTTTCTTCGCTGGCGAAGAGACTATTGTTAGACGCTCCTCAGAGTGTTGCTCAGAGCGATTTTGTTCGAGATGCAAGCACCACGCTGAGCCTCTTGAGTGATCGACTTCGTCCGTTTCATCGGGAACACCTACCACGTTTTGACACTGTCCATAACCTCGCCACTATATATCATCAAAGCAATGGAGCTTGTCATCCCGCTATCTCCAGTACTCTTCTGGCGGTTGTTCAATTCTTGCAACTATTCCGATATTACGAAGCAAGGGCTCGTCAACCCGAAAATCACGACGAAATCTCGGTCGTTGGTCTCTGCACCGGATCCCTGGTCGCGGCAGCATACGCCTGCTGCGCATCTCTTGATGATCTCAAAGCTCTGGCTGTGCCTACAGTTTCCATCGCCTTTCAGATGGGGTTGCAGGTAGCAACTGCCAGCAGTATGCTGCACGAGCAGGGCGCAACACTGGAAAGCTGGTCAACGGCCATCTCGAAAATAAGCGAGGATGAAGTACTTTCAGCTCTTAAGGTTTATGATGCTGGTGGTATTTTGTCTCTCCGCCACCGATGCTTTATCAGTGCCATTGGCCTGAACGGTGTTACAGTCAGTGGATCACCACCTGCCTTGCGTCGGTTCACGGAAAGCTTGACCGAGTCCGATCCTAGCAAGAGGATGAGAGAACTCCCGATCTACGGAGCATACCATGCTTCACATATACACGGTGTTTTGGATTTTCCCAGTTTCCTCAACCGAGCGGGTGTCAACCCGGAGTTTTTGGCTAGCTTTCCAACGCGGAAGACTCTTCTTTGTCCTTTGACAGGAAGGCCGGTCGATGCTCCAAACTCTCTCGGTTTATTTAAGAGTGTTGTACATCACACGTTGCAAGCACCATTGCGCTTCGACCTGGTGGTTGACGAGTTCGTCACTCAAATCCAAGCAAACGGCACCGCCTCCGTCGCGTTGCATGTGGTCGGACCAACTACAGCGGCTGAGGGCCTTGCATCGGCACTTAGGTCGAGAACGGAAGCAGCCGTCGTCACTCGGGATTTGATCACTCTTGATTCTCGGAAGGACCAGTTCCAGCCATCGGGAGCATACAACAATGCCCCCCTTGCTATTGTTGGTGTGTCGGGTCGATTTCCCGGTGCGGAAAGTGCTGAAGAGCTGTGGAGTGTTTTGGAGGCCGGTCTTGACATGCATCGAGTGGTAAGCACAGCTCGCCGTCGGTCGCATTGATGAGGTATTGATGAGTCAAATTAGATTCCTAAAGACCGCTTCGATGCTGAGAAGCATGTAGACCCGAACGGTAAGGCAAAGAACACCAGTTGGACACCATACGGCTGCTTCATTGACCGACCTGGAGACTTCGATCCTCGATTTTTCAACATGTCCCCGAAAGAAGCTCTGCAGACAGATCCCATGCAACGGCTGGCTCTTGTCACAGCTTATGAGGCATTGGAAATGTCCGGATATGTTCCCAACAGAACACGATCAACGGCTTTGAATCGCATTGGAACCTTCTATGGCCAAACTAGCGATGACTACCGGGATGTGAACTCATCGCAAGATATTGGAACTTATTTCATCACTGGTGGAATCCGCGCATTTGGACCTGTAGGTGTCCGAATACTTATTCCTTGCTTCAACATTTCAAGACGGCTCACTCTTTCAGGGACGAATCAATTACTATTTCAAATTCGAGGGCCCGAGCTTCAATGTCGATACTGCCTGTTCTTCCAGCTTGGCCGCAATTCAGCTTGGATGTACGTCTCTCTGGAGCGGTGATTGTGACACAGCAGTAGCCGGTGGATTGAGCGTGCTCACATCGCCCGACCTATTCTCGGGCTTAAGTCGAGGCCAGTTTCTCTCGAAGACCGGGTCATGCAAGACATTTGACAATGATGCCGACGGCTATTGTCGCGCAGATGGTGTCGGAACAGTTATCATTAAACGGCTTTGTGATGCTGAGCTTGACAATGACAATGTTCTCGCCGTTATTCTTGGTGCTGCTACAAACCATTCCGCACAGGCAATCAGCATTACGCACCCACATGCCGAAACACAGTCTAAGTTGTATCGTGAGATTCTGCAGCAGTCAGGTGTGGACCCCTTTGACGTTGGCTATGTTGAGATGCATGGCACTGGGACGCAGGCCGGTGATGGAACAGAGATGCGCTCAGTGACGGATGTATTTGCTCCTGCTCATCCTTCCCGACCTGCTAATAATCCATTGTACGTGGGAGCTATCAAGGTAAGCCGATCCAATTTTCATCGTGGTGGTTCAATCTGATACTAACTCCGTAATTCAGGCGAACATAGGGCATGGAGAAGCTGTAAGCACTGCGCTATCCCCCTATTTCTAGTTTGAGAAAAGCTAATTTGACTACAGTCATCTGGAGTCGCATCTTTGATAAAGTCCATACTGATGTTCAAGAAAGGGGTTATTCCACCCCATGTTGGGATTAAAAATGAGATCAACAAAGGCTTTCCAGATCTCGAAGCAAGAAAGTAAGACTTTCGATAACATATTCACACGGCAATCTCTGACTTTTCTGACAGTGTCCGAATCGCTACGGCCAAAACCCCTTTGCCGGCACCTAGAGGTCCGAAGCGAACGGTGCTCGTCAATAATTTCAGCGCCGCTGTAAGTTCTTCTACTGAGATTCAGAAAGAGTCACATTTGCTGACCACAAAATTAAATAGGGTGGCAATACTGCGCTGTTGATCCAAGAGCCCCCTACGCCCGGTGCCCGCGAGGAAGAGGACCTTCGTCCCTCGCACGCAGTCACGGTCTCCGGGCATACAGCGTTGGCATTGAAGAACAACCTGGAAAGACTGATTGCATACACCTTCAGCAACCCAGATATTTCGCCAGGAGACTTGAGCTATACGACAACCGCTCGTCGAACCCATTATCCTTTTCGAGTAACAGTCGCCGAGCCGACAATTGAAGGGATCCGAGCGGCTCTGCAAAAGAAACAGGGACTGGAGCCATATAACTCACTTCTGTCGAGCCACAAACGCTCAGTGATCTTTTCCTTCACCGGCCAGGGTGCAACCTATGCTGCCCTGGCTCAGGAGCTGCACGCAAAATCGACTCAATTCCGCGCTGATATCTCGCTATTCGACGGGATTGCAAGGCAGCAAGGATACCCGTCTTTTATTCCCCTGGTTGATGGGACGGTCTCCGATATCAATCAGCTATCGGCTATTCAGACTCAGGTCGGGCTAGTGTCCATTCAAATGGCCCTCTCTCGTTTATGGCGCTCATGGGGAGTAAAGCCCACTGCAGTCATCGGTCACAGCCTCGGTGAGTACGCGGCTCTTCAAGTGGCTGGCGTCCTTTCTATCAGCGATGCCATTTTCCTCGTTGGCCACCGGGCGCGTCTGCTAGAGACTCACTGTCAGCCGTATACCCATTCTATGCTAGCCGTATCAGAATCATCTGCTGTTGTTGGGGAACTGCTGTCTACTTTCCCCGAGGAAGTCGAAATTGCTTGCTCCAACAGTCCGCGGGAAACCGTCTTTGCCGGCAGAAGAGAGGTGATCGATAAGCTGGAGGTGCATTTATCTGGAGCAAAGATTCGTTGTACTAAGCTGCAAGTTCCGTTTGCGTTCCACACGGCCCAGGTCGATCCCATTCTTGATAACCTAGAAGAGGTAGCCAAGGCGATTAATTTCGGTGCACCGCAAATTACTATCTTGAGCTCTTATGTTGGCCGTCCACTCGCTGCAGAGGAACGAATTGATGCAAATTATATTCGCCAACACTGCCGGCACACGGTACAATTTGCCAATGCTGTGCAGTCATCACAAGATCAGGGCCTGGTTAATGAAGCCTCGGTGTTCATTGAGATCGGCCCACATCCAATTTGTCTGGGCATGATTCGAGGCATATTGGGCGACACACATCTCAAGGTTCCAACATTGAAGCGGAAGGAGAAGCCATGGAAAGTGATCGTGAGCGGTCTAGCTTCTTTGCATGACCAGGGCTTCTCGATAAATTGGACCGAGTATCACCGCGATTTCGACCACACACATCGGCTTCTCTCTCTTCCTTCCTATGCCTTTGACAACAAACGATACTGGCAGGAATACCGGAATGACTGGACGCTGCGCAAAGGGGATGCTTTACCCACCATTCAACCCTCCGACCACAAAGTTGAACCATCTGCAAAGAAGCTGACAAGCTCTGTCCATCGGGTCGTGGAAGAGAACTACAGTGGTTCTGATCCGATCGCGGTTTTCGAAACGGATCTCTGGGATTCCCAAATCTATGCCGCCGTTAGTGGACATCGTGTTAATGGTTCCGCTCTTTGTCCATCGGTCAGCCAATCCTCGCTTTGAACAAGACCCCAAACAAATGACAATTGCTAATACATATGTATAGTCTATCTACGCAGATGTTGCCCAGACCATCGCCCATCACATCCAGCAGCAGATTCAAGCCGGTATTAAATTGCCTGGCCTAAACGTCACTGGTATGGAGGTAACACAGCCATTGATTATCAAGTCTCCCAGACAGCACGAGAATCGTATCTTGCGGGTCATTGCGCACGTCGACAAAACCTCACAACAAGTACGTCTCGAATATAATTCTATTACACAAGGGCAAAAGGTAGCAACCAGGCATGCCAATTGTGTTGTCGAGTATGGCTCGCCAGAGAAGTGGCTTCGACGTTGGTCGCATAGCCTTCACTTGGTACAAGGACACATCAAGGAACTGGAAACCAAGGCAAATCTGGGAGAAATCAGTAAAGTTACCAGTCGCTTGGCCTATCGACTTTTCAGCAGCCTGGTGGACTATGCGCCTGAGTACCAACGAATGAGTCAGGTTCTCCTGGCGAGCAATCTTTATGAGGCTTCCGCCACGGTCAGCCTGGATGAGCGAGGCGATGACGCCTCGTTCCAATGCAGTCCTTACTGGATTGATTCTTTGGCTCACCTGTCAGGCTTTGTCATGAATGGAAATGAGAACATCAACTACCAAGATGCTGTTTACATATCTCATGGATGGGAGAGTATGCGCTTTGCCCAGAAGCTCATTTCTGGTGGTCAATATCAAACCTACGTTCGAATGTTACCGGTTGATAAAACAATGTTTGGAGGTGACGTCTGGATTTTGCACGAGGGAGAAATTGTCGGTGTGATCGAAGATCTTCGATTCCAACGCGTTCCACGAAGCATTCTTGATATGCTTCTCCCGCCGGTTAGAGTAAATGCCGCCAAAGAGACCGCCAAACAAGTCGCACCGAACAAGAAACATTCGCAACCGGTTATTCCAAAGGCTCAAGCTCCACCCACGCAGGTCAATAGCAACACAACCGAAGAAGTCAAACGACAATCTGAACAGTCAGCTAACTCCCTGCTCGACTTGATCGCCGGAGAGCTTGGTCTAGCGGCATCCGAAATATCTCCCAAAGATAACCTGAGTGAGCTCGGAGTTGACTCCCTCATGGCTTTGATTCTGGTAAGCCGACTTCGCGAGGAGATGGACCTTGATATTACTCACAGCAAGTTTCTTGAACTTTCTACCATCTCTCAACTTTTGGATTCTTTGAATGAGGTGCCACATGCTGTCGCGAACGATATAGTGGGCGAGGGCCGCTCGAATGATCAAGCTGCTGCTCACTACAGCTCGTCTCCAAGTTCAGGGTCTTCTTTTGTTGAGGTCATCACACCAGACAGCTCAGCCGAGGATACCTTACATCTCGTGAGACATATCATCCTGGAGGAGACCGGTCTCGCTGAGGATGAGCTAGAAGTAACAGCAGACCTTGCCTCTTTGGGGATCGATTCTTTGATGAGCTTGACTGTCCTGGGAAAGCTCCGAGAAGAGGGCGTTGAGCTCCCTATGGACTTCTTCCTCCATCATACCACAATGGACGAAGTTTCGCAAGCTCTGGTTAGCGGCAACAATGATCTACGGCCCGAAGACATTTTACCCTCCACTAAGGAGAGAGGTCCTGAAGCAAAGTCTATCCTTCTCCAGAAACGGTCTAACCCAACAAGCAGCAAAACACTTTTTCTGTTTCCCGATGGCTCAGGGTCCCCGGCATCCTATGCAGGGCTACAACAGCTTCACGCGGACTTTGAGATTTACGGTCTAGTCTGCCCCTTCGTCAACGACCCGGGTAGCTACACCGGTGGTATCGAGGATGTCGTCAGAATATATCTGTCTGCAATCAAAAACCACAGTCCTTCAGGTCCGTACCATCTTGGCGGCTGGTCCGTTGGTGGTGTTCTTGCGTATGAAGCATCCAAACAGCTCATCGACGCCGGCGAGAAGGTTCATGACCTGGTCCTTATCGATGCGCCATGTCCCACAGTGCTAGCTCCCATGTCTTACACTCTCATCGAGTTTTTAAACTCCATCGGCGTTCTGGGCGGAACACAAACCGATGACGCCGCACTTCCAAATTCAAAGCGCCAACTTCTGCTTGACCACTTTGATGCAACTGTCAAGAATTTAGGTACCTACGATCCAGCCCGTTCTCCAATATCGGCTGGTTCATCACCCCGTACATCCATTATATGGGCTCAGGAAGGTGTGTGTGATGGATTGAATGACCCAAGGCGGAGGGAAAACCCTTCACTGGCCGCCGATGCCACTGCGAGCTGGATTCTAGACAAACGCACTGATTCCGGCCCCCGAGGATGGGAATCGCTTATATCGACCAACCATATTTTTTCCTTTTCCGTCCCTGGAAATCATTTCAGCATGATGCAACCCTCAAATGCGAGTATCCTCCCTTTCCCAGTACTTATTTGGAGAAAACTCTTTGTCATCTTCCCAATACTGACTTACGGGTTTGCAGATTGGAGAGCTCTCCAAGAAGCTAAAGTTTATTCTAGCTTCCGCCAAATAGCACATGCCGGTCATCTGTTATTTCTAACAGATTGGATTATTTGGGGAACTTGGGTGTCAGAGATAGTTTGATTTTACTTTTCTATGGATTTCGTTTTCTTGAATAATGTCGCTATTTTAACTCAAATTCAGGCATTTCCTATAGTCTGACTAGAAGTCTTTCTTGCGTTAACAAGCAAAGAATACACAATACTAGTATATGCGACACGTATTGTTACAATGCCTCGCCAAGACATATCAGTTTCTATGCTAATCTTAAGCTCGATTGAAATTAAACTACATCAGGTACTCTGTGTCTGCTTTACCAGTTACCTGTAACAGGAAACGCACGATCTCATTTTATTCATTGATCCAACCACATTCTTCTTCTTCTGACTTTTCTTTCCCCTTCCTTCACAATGTTGAAAGAGACCCAAACGGCACAGCCATAATTTGATGTGTAGACACCGGGTCTTCCAAAGGCATGCTCACTTTACTCTCTTGTGGGGTCGATCCAAATAGATATTTGTAGCTGAGCCATAGCCACCGGCCCAGATGGACAACCGCACTCGAGCAAGCTGTGAGAAACCATCACTACGACGTCGTCAAAGTGCTCTTGGATAATGGAGCTTACGTGGCAAAACTGAAGTTTGAGTGAGACGTTTCGCCAAAGGATGATAACAAACGCGATTCAGAATATTACCTTAATGCCGCTACACTTGCTGGAAATTTCAGGATGGCAAGACTTCATCTTGAGCGTGGGGCGAGAATAGGAAAGTCCAGCATTCCCAATCTGATGCAGCAATCTTGTGTTTAATCTCAAACCATGCTCATCAGAAAAAAAGGCCGCAGATATCATCGACTTTCTGTCTGTCCTGGAGCTTTTGATACGTCATTGCGCTGGTTCGAATGATGGAAAGCACATAGACCATGTTCTGCATCAGGTAATGAGCAATGACTATTGCCTATACCACAGTTTGAAAACGGGTATTCTCAACCTTATTTTGTTTTGTGGTGCTACTCCAAATTCCACGCCACCACATGGAGAAACGCCCCTTTGCCGTGCATTCGCCATTGCCTGGAGAAACGATCAAATGGCTAGAAGGCTTATTCAACTGCTACTGGACCATCCTCTGCCAGCCTGACGGAAGTGCGTGTGGAGATACGGAGAGGGTGTTCGCGCCTGATGCTGACTGGCCATTATAGTGTCCGCCATCGAGAAGTCCCGAAGAAATGATGATGGTCTTGTCCAATATTTGCTCGATCGTAACGTCGACAAGCAGCCCAAAAATGTCGGTCTTGAGCCATTTGCTATGACGGCAAAGTTTTCTAAACAGCGGCTTCAGTCTTCTAAAAAGTGGTCCTGGGAGCGTTTGGATTTCTCCACTGTTTGCACATCTCCACTTGAAGCTGTAATTTGTTTCCTGGACTTTCCAAAGAGCCTTTCATTTGCAAAGCTTTTGATTGAACGAGGAGCAATAATCGGAGACCTTGAACTTACAAGAGCAGTCAAGGAGTATCGATGCTGTCCGGAACATTTTGAAATTCTTCAACTGTTTTTGGACAATTTGTCACGGCAGCCCTGTGCTGTCCCAAATGCCTTCGAGAAGGCTTTGCAATACGATCACATTGTCTTTCTTGTGCGGCGCTTTTTAGATATTGGTCTTGATCCCGGATGCAAAGTTGTTGCCAACGGATCCTCGGACAGTATTTTCCTGTACCAACTGCACGGAACCATTGAGTACGAAGTTCTCGATTCTATCCTTGAGAGAGCAGTCATTTGGCGCGATGGTACGTCACTCGGGTTTCTTCTACATTCCAGAACATGGACTGCGGTTGAGAAAGGACGAGCACTCACCAGAGCCCTGAGTTACGGGCGCAAAGCCCTGGTGCAGGATTTATTGGATGCCGGTGCGGACGTGAATCAGGCGGTCCAGACCACGATTGACTGTTATCCGCCACTTTGGCTCGCGGTTGAAAGGCAGGATATCTCTCTAACACGGCATCTGGTTGACCTCCGTGCTGATGTAGAATGGAGCATCTTGTGGAACAAAACGTGGGCAAAATGGTAAAGAACAAACAATACTCTGCACTGCAGTGAGAACCAGAAACAGGCACATTGTAAAGGTTCTTCTTGACGCAGGGGCAGACATCAACCGACCAGCCTCGTCTCAGTATGGAAGAACGGCATTACAAGACGCGGTGGAAGATGGAAGTTTTCAAATAGTGGACATCCTATTGGATGCTGGAGCGGATCCTAACCAGTGTGCGGCTGAGTTTTGGGGGCGGAACAGCGCTCCAATTTGCTGCAATCAAAGGATATATCGGTATTGCTCGCAAACTGCTTGCAAAGGGAGCAGATGTCAACGCAAAAAAGTCTTTGCGAAATGGCAGAACAGCGTTGGAGGGTGCTGCGGAACATGGTCGCATTGATATGCTACAGCTGCTTCTGAATGAAGGCGCATCAATTGAGGGAAATGGCCGGCACCAATACATCCGAGCAATCAAATTGGCAGAAGATAATGCTGAATTCGGTGCAGCAAAGCTACTCAGAGACCATGGGGGTTGGACTGAGTGGGACGCAAGGCAATATGAGCATGAGAAGTTTGATTTTGATGAGAACATCTGGGACTCTCCGATGTCAATTCCGCACGACACGAGAACAGAGCAAGATCAGACATCACCGCTATAAAGCAATACAGGATGTCTAAATGCCATCTAACTCGGACCAAACGTTCCAAGTTTTTCTCAAGCCCTGCCGCTAGAGGATCCGTGATATTGTCACCACCCTCTCACCCCGTTCTCAACTCTATACCTCATTCTCTAAAATTCACACCTATATCACCCACACCCGCCCCAAGTCAAATTCAATAGCCATATTAACCGTCTAAGGAGCTTCAAGAATCGGCTGCGTAGATTAAGTGGCTTTTGTACGGCTGAGCGGGCAGGAAGCCCTGTTCTCTACACCCTGCGGTCGTATGTACTAGTTATAGTGTTAAAGGGGATGATACACTAAGAGATACACAACAGGGGCTAGCAACAGTAGACTGAAATTGCCTAGTAGCTAGGTAGTGTTTACTAGGCGAGGATTAGGTGGGAGCCGCTTTTCGGTCACATAATAGGTGAATACGCACCCGTTAGCCGCTAACCGCGACCATTTGTCGCTTTGCTTTCTCCCTCTTTTGGCTCTGCCTTTTTCTATTGCTCTGTAGTACTGATATCGGACTCTTCCGAATTGAAAGCACTACTCTTGCATCGCCTACATGGCTAGTATGACGTTCTTTTAGGGCATGAGCTGCCTGATACTTTTCCGTTTCATTACGTTGTACGAACCACATTCATTCAGATCAGCGATTCACAAGATCTCCATGCAGGGCTGAACGATCATCTGCCCACGGAGATACAGTGACGTCCCCGCATAGGCCCCCAAGTATCACAGCCACTTTTTTTTAGCCCCCTATGACGAAGCCAAGACTCGGGCAAAAGCAGGCCGTGTGAGTCAAATTCATATAAATCAATCACTCCAGTACAGTCAAAGAGACACAAATATCATTTCCCTTCATCTATTCTTGCGCCCAGCAAAGATTAAACCCAACAACACCCATCTTTCCACCAACTCAAATCACAATGTGTTTCGGCACTGGCTTCTTCGATGGCATCAAGCCGAATCCGCCTCGTCAAGAAAAATACAAAGACCAAGAGAAGTACCAGCGAGACTATGCACGGTATGAACAGAAGTTAGAGAACTACATGAATAAGGATAACAGACGGAGGAGAATGGCGAATTCTCAAGCTGGGGCTACGGGAGGTGTTACTTTTGCTTTGGGCGGCTGAGGAGAGGCCGTATGATATCGAAGACTCCTATTTGAGTCGCTGCTTTGATGAGGCTCAGATTGATGAGTTGATGAGTAGGCTCGTGGAGTACAATGTATGGTTATGCTATTTTGAGCCTTATAATTGTTGAATGGCCAAACAGACATGTACTTGATCAGCAAAGCGATCTATATAATGTTTTAGGAAGCTTAAGTTTGTTCTTGGATAAGGAACCTGCCTTTGCTGCTCAAAGCCTTCATGTTTCCCGAATGTCACCGGCCCAGATCAACGAAACCCTTGTGAAAGCCATCATTTCTTTGGTCCATTTCATCCAAAGTTTCTATCACAAAATAAACCCTAGCAAATTCACCTAATGCCATATTAAGGCCATTACATAGATCGGTCGGCGATAGGCTTTCGAGAGAGGACAACTTTGGGAAAGTCCAATCGGAGGACAGGGGAAGAAACAAACATAGTTATTCAAAACTTCTTGAGTTACTTCAGACAAAGCCCCAGTCTGGTCCCGAAACTTTCATGCCGTTGTAGGCTGAAGCCTTCGAAACTCCCTCAGAGTGGAAAGATCGAAATACGGCACATGATATACGGAAAACGGCAGTGTCACCGACGTTCCAGCCGGCGGATCAGCGGCTTCGCCATAGATTTCCACCGAGTAAAATATTCCCGGGTCCACAATGAGAACATCCATTTCTGCCAGCGCTGACGCTAGCCCCCACGTGTTTCCTATGGTTCGAAGGCACTGTATAGCCCACAGACGCTGTGGATGAGCCGGGGACTCGACTAGGCCGGCCACAAATAGGGGCCAAAGAAGCATGAGACCGCCTAGATAGCTCTCTGGCGGAAGGATAGGCGTCTCTGGGAGTGCCTCCGAGTTGCACGCACCCAGATGAAATGGGATACTGCTGCAAATATCGAGACCTAGGCGACGAATTGTCGCCCGTTGAGACTTGCAGTATGAATTATTGTCTTCGAGGAATGGGGCAGGCGAGCTCTTGGATATTTTGTTCACTTGGGATATTATAAGCTCGATGACAAGAATGTGTGTGGAGCGGTAGTGATTCCAGACACTGGCCGACCAGATATCGGGGTAGATATGGTATTCGTTGTTATATGGTCGGATTCCGTGACAGCGGTGTCCAAAAGAAGTGTCCAGTGGCATAAGTGTATGGGTACTATATGTGAAATCCGGCGGCAGAGCGGCTAACCAAGCGAGGAGCTCGGCATCGATGGCACATGCCGCACTCAGGATCTCTTGGGGGTCGGTCAATTCTCGAGAGCGGATATTTGTCCGTAAATTCGCGAGATTGCCGATGATCAAGTTCAGTTTATTTCCAACATCACTCTTTATCTCGGGGAAGATTTCAAGGATTGTACATTCCATGACAGAGCTGGGAACAAGGAAGTCGCGCTGGAGGCAACTTGTAGTCTATGAACTGATCAGTCCTTTCCTAGTTCTCGGGATTCTGTCACTAACGATCTGATATCGTAAGTGAAGAAGAAGTCAGGTGCCTACTATGCTTTGCCATTGTGTAGCCCCCCGGTACTGAAGGAGTGCTGCAGCCCCAGAAATATGGCTTGTCCAACCCTCGAGTTCCTGCGGAGCCCTTGATACGACAATCTACTAATATTGGTATGTGGCTTCGTTCCTTGGGAGGGAAGCACTCACTTCATACAAGGATAGAAGAACAATTGCACCAAGTGTCTGATTGGTCTTCGCCTCGTGTGGATCGGCAAGTGCCCGATTGACAAACTCGAGGGCAGATCCATATTCCTTACGCGCGGCGTGACTCAATGCTCCAGCTCTTCGAACACGCGAGAGCATGGCGCTAGCAACCGCCACTATGCTAGATTGTATTGCCTGCTGACCCAGTGACCCATCAGACGCCATAAGGAATCGAGCCAAAGCGTCCTTTATGAGAAAGTTACCCTGAAAAGAGTGCGATTGGAGAAAGTAGCAGATAGCTTCCTGTTTCGAGACCCCGGTGTTAGGATGTGTTCTCAAAGGACTCTGCTTGCCCTGAATACGGAAGTGGAGGTCAGGGTCAGAGCCGTATTCAAACACCACTTCAAAGGAGTCTGAGATACCAGAATATCCCAAATTTTGTGGAAAACCGCGACGACGCGACCGGGACGCAACCCGGCGTCGCAAAGACGTAGAACGCGCCTTGTGCGCGACGGATTGGGTTTCATCGCGGAAAATCAGTGAGAGTTCATCGCGATACCCAGGGCATTTTCGATTGGTACGAATACATTGCCAGCAGGCCGATGGAGCCTGGTCGCATCTGATCTTGCGTGAGCGACAGTTTCCGCAACCTTTGCTAGGTTTGCCATCATATACCATGGTGTAGGTGCTGTCAGATGGTATCAACACTTTATCCCTCAATTTTGAGATGTGGCCAGCATTAACTCAGAACAAAGAATAAAGCCGATGGGGCTGAAAGGTGCTTGGTTGTTTTGGCCCCCAACATTGGGCTGAATCCAAGTAGCTCGTCTAACCCGTATAGGCGAAAGAGGAACGCCTATGCATGATCTTGGTAAGCGAGTTTCGGGACGCGTGGCTTGGTATCTTGAGTATTTGCGATCAGATTCTCACAGTTAATTCACAGTCAGTGTATGAAGGAATTGCTTCCTGTTCATTGCCTCAATATCCACCTAGTAGCTTAGCTGAACATCAAAGAAGGAAGCAACATCTCAGAGCAAGTTGATTAGGGAAACAAAGCATATCTCATAATGCGTTATCAGTGCATCTTGTAGTTGTAGTTGCGTCCCTTTTCCGCGCTTTTGTCTGGGTGGATGGTAGGTGTTTCTCCCGAATTTATTGATCGATTCTAGCTCGACAAACAGCTGCGTATCGTTTCTTGAACCCCTCGCCGACTGTATCTTAGCTTTTACTGCTAAAAGTCTCGCCGGCACAGGATAATCTCGATGATCACATACAATAGCCTGTATGTGGATTTGTGTTGGTATTAGAGGATCATGGCAAATGGACGCTGCTAATCCTGTAGGCACCCTCTAGGCCATGGGATTGATGCCATCGCTCTGGCCCCAAAGTGAGACTGGAGTTCCTTGTTTCGGTGAAACCCCACTTCTGCCAGTAAAGGGAAGGAAATATACAATGTCACCTCGAACAACGACATGTCGGACGCAAGGGCGAAATGAGCCCATTATCTATGTGGAGAACATGTAACCGAACAGCAGTGGGGATAGTGCATGATATTTCATAGAGTCTAGAATATTGTACTATACTGATCACAAAATCACTCATATAGGAGCTAAACCCAAAGTGGACAGTATTGCGAAAGCCAATCAGCTCCCAGCTTAGTAGCCTCTATTTTTACCAGCCCGTGCCCCCGGGACTATCGTAGGGGGAAGATCAGCAGCATCTATAGCTTCTTTAGTAACGCACCAAATTGCGTTGAGAAGTGGCAGGCCCCGGGGCTTGAACATGCTCCATCGTTCCAATGCTGCACCGAGTCAAGCTTCTTGAACAGAACAGAAACGACGAAGCACGGAAAAGCTACTTCGAAACATAGAAATGAGTGACTGGCATTTTCTACTTGATTTCATTTTAATGTGATATGGATCGTTTGAAGCCCTGGATGTTCAACCTAATTTTATTAATTCTGCCTTATTTAGAACATCAAGCTCGGTAATGATTAAGCTCTTTTTAAAATTGAATCTGGGGCACGCCTGGGGTGGCGAAGTCTTGGGGGCCAATTCGATATCATGAAAGAGCCGCTCGCTATTCTTGAGGCTGATTGGCGGTCGCAATATGCGCTGGAAATGTATTAGTGCTCGCCCCAATACTAAGCCCAAAAGTGCCGATCCTGACAACGCTTAGATGATGTCTGTCAATCCAGGTACCCGCAGGTGGGAAAGTATGCGTTTTGTCGTGAATAAGTATTAATTTCTGAAGGTCAGAAATGGTATAAAACCACCAAGCTCCCCTTCTCATTTTGATTTCGTTCTTATCCTTGAATATCACCTCCTTGGCTTGGAACTTCCTGGGTTATCACAATCGCCATGAAGCTTCTTTCGATAGCTCTTCTGTCGGCTTTGGCAGCCGCAGCGTCCTCCTCCCCTTCTGTCACAATCGATGCTGGTACAGTTCAGGGTGGAAAATGTGAAGGTGGTCAAAATGCCGTTTTCTACAAGGCAATTCCCTTTGCTGAGCCTCCAGTCGACGAACTACGCTTCGAGCCCCCCAAACCCTATAAAAAGCAATACCCTCAAGGCAAGCTGAATGCAACAACTTCGGCCCCAACCTGCATTCAATTCTCAGATGATTTCACCGAGAAGAAATTGGATACAGATGCACTGTCATCTGAAGACTGGTAAGTCGAGTCATCGGGTCTCCGGCCCCTCATAATGTTTTCGTTGGAAAAGGATACTAAAAGCCAAATTCGTAGCCTTTATTTGGATATTTGGGCGCCGTCTACAGCCACTAAGGACTCCAAACTTCCCGTCAAAGTATGGGTATACGGTGGATCTGAAACGGAAGGTTCAATCTCGGACCCCCTCTACGACGGCTGCAACACAGCAGAGGCAGGATCTATTCTTGTTTCAGTCAACTACCGTGTTGGCCCCCTCGGTTTTATGGCACTTGAGACCGCTGCATTATATGGCAACCAGGGAATCAAAGACCTGATCATGGGATTGGAATGGGTTCAACAGAATATCGCCGCCTTCGGTGGAGACCCGGTATGGCAACTTACATCAAATCTCAAATGGGAAGCGAAGAAGCACAGCTGACATTCGTACCCAACTCTAGAAAAAGGTTCTTTTCTTTGGCCAGTCAGCCGGTGCTGAGAATGTATACGCAATCGGCTCTCTTCCTCAAGCTCCTTCTTTGATGAACAGTCTCATCTCAGAATCGGGCGGAGGTAGAAGCCTCAGCGTTAATTCAACCCAGCAGAGGGTTGCAGCATCATATGCTAAGATGCTCAATTGTAGCACTAGTGACGTGAGTGCACGGCTCTTCATTTGTTATACATGTTCTCGATGCTGATCTTCCCATAGAAAACTTGTCTCCAGTCCAAGACACGTGCTGACATAGTGACCGCATACCACAACGATAAATACCTGACCCAGGGAATTGGATACTATGGAGCAGGAGGTTCTCTCAGCATCCTTAGCCAGGGCACTCACAATTTCTACCCCTTTGTGGACGGCAGTCTCATTGCCGAGGATCCCTACACCCGTGGAGTGCAAGTCCCAGCCGTCTTTGGATCCAGTATGTTCATCATCGTATACGTGTGAACTCTTGCTAATCAAGTAACCGACAGATTATAATGAAGCTATCGTATATTCGTTGCTGTGGATTGAGACAGAGCAAAAGATTCCAACCGCATCGATATACAAAGACTTCCTCCGCAGTAATTTCCGCAACGCTGCCTCGCTTGTTGAAAAGTACTATGCGCCCTCCTTGTTCAAATCAGCAGCCGAACTTATTGCTCAAAGTTCCCCTGTTTTTGCTGAGATGAACACGACCTCAATCGAGATATTTTTGGCTATAACCCAAGTCATAACCGATTCCACCTACAAGTGCCCAGCGTGGTATGGTGCGGCACAGGCGACTCGCAAAGGTATCCCCGCGTGGACATACCAATTCACCCATGGCTCGACTTGCCCTTGGCTGTTTTCGATGAATGATACTACTGTCAGCTATCTCAATGCCTCTCACACAGCTGAAATTCCCTTTGTCTTTGGCAACTTGGAAAATTCGTATCTCCCGGGCGGGGATTGCAATTCGACATCAGCTGAATGGAAGCTCGGCGGCCAGATGATGGACCTGTGGACTGCAATGGCAGCAAACGGTAAACCATCAACCAAGGAGATTGAGTGGCCTCAGTTCAAGAACCAAGGGAAAAATCTGTCTATTCCCGGGTTGATCTTCGACAACTCCGCTTCTGTCGGAACCGTCGATTATTCCGCCTGTGAACTTTGGGTTGAAGTCAATGCGATGGTGGCAGCAAGCAATGCTACAGCCTCAGCCACAAAGTCTGCGGCTGCTGGCAGATCGACATCTTCACCGTCCGCCACTCCATTCAATGGCGCAGCCACTCTGCTCCCTAGAGTTGAGGGCTATCTTGCTTTGGCCATGGTTATCATTGGTCTCGTTGCAATTTGATAGAATCTGGTCTTTGTGGCCCCCAGAGCATGTTTGTTCTAGCAGTGTGACACTTTTTCTCATTGCTCTCTGTTTCTATCGGCCTCTTATAACTCTTGTATAGACGCATCCTGGAGCCTTCTTTCATACGATGTGGATCAAGTGCATTTCTGTTTTTATCTTTAGGTCTCTAATCAGACCCATGTAATTATTCGATGAACAGTAACAATGGCCTGCGATTTCTAACAATCATCTCCTCATCTAAATTGGCAAAGGCGAACAAAGAATAACACGCAACAAAAGAAGAAGAATTATAGGACGAAGAAGTGCGAAACCATAGAGCAGAATGTTATTGGATTATACCCCTCCACCTGAGAGTCTCGATATTTTAGCCTCTACATACAAGGAGAACTAGAAGCATTGTATCACAAGGTTTCCTTCGGGCGCCTTTAAGATTATGGCCTACCTCGTCTGCCTCGTCTGCCTTCCGCTGTCAATAAACTTAACTCTAATCATTGGGCCGCACATGCGCACATTCGGCATTCGCAGTGCGCGGTCTGTGCGAGATCACGGGTTGACTAGTAAGGCTTTAAATACGAAATTTTCTTGTAAACCCTTATATTTCTACTACTTAAGCTTGATTTGAGTAAAGCAGCATTCAAGGAATTGTAGGGAAAGGTTTTGTGGGTATTTATAATATGATCAACAACTGACCCTTACACCAAAGACTATTTTGATATAAGATCGATGATTCGTTCTTTGTTTAGGTAGAAAGAGGTGCCTATAGTAGGGGCGCCCCACTTTCCGATTGTTAGTAACTATTAACGTTAGATAAGATGAAAGCTTGTGATATAACCTAGATTAGTTGAGAATCGGCGAGAAGTCTAGTATAGCTTTGCACTTACTAAGGCCTTATGAACTGTGCTAGACGCGTAAAAAAAAATCACGAAACAACCGTGACCCTCAATTTCTACTTAAACTTACTTTTATTCATAATATTTTAGTCGTAAAATACTAGAATCTATTTGGTTATGTCTATCTCTAGGTAGCCATATTTAGACTACCAAGCTTCGCCTTTAGGGCGCCTGGCTAGCTAGTTTTTAGGACGCTCGGCCGATTGGTTTTCGAAACAGTTTTCGGGACAGTTTTTAGGACGGTCGTAAAATAAGTATTTAAGTCTTTATATAAAATTTCGAAAAATACGCGTATACTAACGCAACGCGAAGAATTCGTTATTATCACTTTAGCATCTAATTGTAGATACGACTCAAATACGACTCAGATACGATTTAGATACGACTTATATTACAAGATTTTAGGCTTACAAACATACGAAAGGACTCACGAATATTCACGAAATATCTCTACTCTAGACGCTATTTATACGTAGACTACGCAAAATCTCGCGGAAAACAGAAGATTCCCTATACTGTCTTAATTGATTTGATTTGATTGTCTCTCTTTGTTGCTGCTTATGCATCTTGTGAGGGGGTTTGAACCCTACTCACTGCTGCTCGCCCACGAACTCTCTACTTGCTGGCCCCCTTTGCGCCCACGCTGCCTGCTTTAGCGGCCTTGCCGCCAGTGCTTCCGGCGTCCTGGCCATCCATCTTGGCGCGGATCCGGCTGTAGCGCATGCGGACAGCCGGGACGTTCATGTCGAGGGCATCGGCCACCCGCTTGTAGTCAACCTATAAAAAGAAACGTCAGCCGTAATTTCAGTTGACATCCCAAAGTGAACTTACGTCGTTGTGGCTGAACTTGATGCAGTTCAGCAGGAACGCAATGTCCCGGTCAGAGGGACCGGCGTCCTTCGAGGCCTTGATGGGCGTCGACTTGCTCACGGCGGAGCAGACGACCTTCGCGGTCTTGGGGGTGGAGCCCTGGGGGGTCGAGGGTGCCTTGGAAGGCATCGTGGCTGGTAAATGGAAATAATTCTTTGATTGGATGTAATGTTTTGGAGATCGCCGAAAAGACAGAGGACGAAGAGGAAAACGTGTTTTGGGAAATTAAAAGAAGAATACAAAAGAAAAGAGAAGAAGGGCGAGGAGCCACTGTTTTATACCTGATGTTTTCGAGCACGTGCGCTGCTCTATTCGATTCCCTAATCGGAACGATTTGAGGGCTCGACGGTTAGCCCTTTCAATGAATCAGGTTCTCGATGAGCCAGCGTAAGTCACTAATCGTGGTCCTGCTTGATTATTGAGCCTTTTCACTAGTCTTCCTCTTCTCATGTGTAGACAACGGGCTGATTTGCCTCAATGTTCCCAAAAGCGTCATCCCAAGAGGAGTTACACTTCCACCTTCATTTCTTCTCGATCTCCCAGGCAGCTAGGAGAAGAGGACCTACACTTACAGTGTCCACTATCAGATACGATCAATCTGTACAGGCTCTTATTGAATGTGCGTAGGTAGTCTGGATTAACGAATAAGTCTGCTTGTTGACCGTGTGAGTTCAGGAATGATACCACCAAGCAACCATGTTTTGTTCCTGCTACCGGTGTTATTGAGCTTCTCCCCGTTGTCTTCGCCATCAAGGCTAGTGCTCACGGGCTTTGACCTCCGAGTAGCATCCCGAGTAAACTTTGCATTGTAGTCATTCTTCCCCCTGTGTCTTCGTGCGGTTATAACACGCACTGGCTAATGCCTGCTCGAGTCTGTTCCACCTATCCCAGCATGTCAATCTGCCTATAGATTCAGTTCTATCAGCATTGACAGTCCATGATATCCCAGCAGAACATACACTACCAATGGTGGCGAGTGACCCAGCTCCAGGACATTTCGATGCACTCCAGCGGCAAGAAAACATGCGTACCAGGTCCCATCAGATTCGTGCAAGCCGGCTTGCTGACTAGAGTAATCAAACAGCCAGCCATTCTCCTCAAGTTGTCCCAATGTCGAGTGTCTGGCGTTAGTACCTAGGAGGGATCTACTCCAGTAAGTAGAGGGACAGAGTAAGTGGAATGCAGGAAGCTCGGGCTCTGGAAATGCGGTCACGTTAAAGCTTTGAGCGTTTGGAAAGGAATGCTGTTCCTTGGAGAGCTCCGAACGCCCAGTCTATCCACGACTTAACGCTCTCTGTATTGGGGAACAAATAGTAATAATCGCGAAGTACATGGCAATGAGGCAAAAAATGATCGACAGACTGCGGGGTGAGATGCAATTAAGGTTGAAGGCTCAGCCCGCCCGGGGAAACTTAGTGCCACGTTTCCTGTCCCCCATGATTCATCCGACTGTTGTATCGTCCTTTCAAACACAACCACGGCATTCCCAGTGATTGCGTCGCCAATGTCTTTGGCTGCACCACCTATGTAGATTTGCCAGCTGTCATGTTCAAGGACACCAGGTGCATCTGATTCGCCAGTTACGTTGTGTTCATCTTTGCGCCAGCGGTGTCGGGTTCGCCAGTTGCGTTGTGTTCATCTTCGTGCCAGCCGTATCGGGTTCGCCAGTTGCGTTGTGTTCATCTTCGTGCCACCCGTATCGGGTTCGCCAGTTGCGTTGTGCTCCCCATTCAAAGTCAATCCGCCAGTTATGTTGTATTTGTCGTTCTTGTCGACAGTGGCCTTAGCAGCAGGTCCAAGACTTTGGGCTTGTCTCAAGACCAAGGCATGTTCTCGGGAGGTAATTCTTCTTGGAGCTAGGTATTTAGTCACGTGTGACGAAAGCTCTCTATCATAGCATGTGTTAGCGTGGTTAGTAGCAAGACGTCTAGGTAAGGCGAAGGAGGTTCTTCTTCTGTTGCAGGGATACCAGATCAGAAACAGGACATAGCTCGCCAGTTAGCCTTCACCTCAGCGTTCACAAACTCGCGGATCTAGGTCAGTCTCCCGTCACATTGTTACCCTTAGCAGTCGAATTGGCAAAATGACAGATAAACTGCCAACATGTGGTGTGGGGGCGCGTGGGTGCTTGTTGAATTAGTTGTTGAGAGAGTTGACAGAAGCGACCATGAACAAAGAGTATTACCATGCCAGTGAGCTTTGCAGCCGGGATCGATCTTGCAGGAGCAGGCCTTTGTAGATTTAAGATCAAGTTGTGTACTTCAGAGTTCACCCGTGTATATCGTTGTATATTGTGATTGATAACAAAACAATATTTCCAGATAGGTCGTTGTAGACTTGCCACGTGCATTCTTTACAGCAAGTACATATTATGATAGGGAAAATGGATATTAACAACTGTCCCGGGAAGCAACTCACCATCCATTCATACCAAGATTGCTAAACCCCAACGTGTACAGCGACAGTGTGGCATGCCCGCTTGATAATCTCGTTGACTGGTTCCCGTTCCATTGAGTCACTCGCAGCTTTCCAGGTGCCTTTTGAGGTAGAAAGGATCAGATGCGAGCGTGTCATCTGGCGAACCTATGGCAACGTGGCTATTTTGTGCGTCCTCTATCAAGACACACTATGTAATCGCGGAAGCAAAGATTGAATCACTCACAAGATAAAACGGTGGTTTGGCAGATCCTGGCGCCGATAAAAAAAGGTGTAGCTGCGGAGGTCTCAAAGATTGGCATGTTGGACACATATGTAATATGCATTAATCTAAAGTTTCCAGACGGCTAGGTGAACAGGAATCAAAGAAATAAAAGGACAGTGTACCGTGGGATATTTTCGACTTCCTTCTTGCTATCTAATATAAAATCGATAAGAGAACGACGCAGGGGTCACAAGAGAACGACAAGCGGTCGCTCGAGAGCACTCCCCTTGATGGGCGACAACTGGCGGATTCCAGAGAAATCCCTTGAGCAAGCCGGAAATTATTACCTGCGGCCAATACTGAAGACCAGTCGGCCTCATGGACTCCATTCGTCCTGGTCCGACGCGATTAAGAACGATGATTCCCCTTCTTTTTTCTTTCAAAGTTACTCATCCAACCCTTGCATCCGTCACACGACGAAGACCCGGACCCAACATGCGCTCCCATTTCAATGCCCTTGAATCTCTCAAAAGTCAAGGCAAGGTGAGTTTTCAAGCGAACATAAAGGACGAGACGGGTTCAGAACATCAGATTCCGCCATTCTACGGCCATTTTCATTGCTTCCAGATGCCTACGATCTATTCCTGTGCAGGTCACCTGCTGGACTCATATAGGGAGAGAGATGGTGGGACAAGGGTGTTTGCTTTTGGCTTGGGAAGCTCATTTGAGTCTTCCTCAATCGTAGCCTGGTGGTGATCTTCTTATGCAGTCTATCTGTCGATCACAGGTCTAATAAGCGGAATTACTGGTATCTATCTTATGTCAATCCTGAAGGTTTAGTTATAGGATAGCTGATATTGAAATTAGAATAGGTTTCTTATAGGGTTAGTTCATGTTTGGGGTTTTATCATCCCTTTTGGTCTAGTTAGTCTCCTTTCCAATATGTTTGTGCAAAGTTCTAATACCTTAACTACACAGTGTATGTGATAAGAAATTTCGCATCGTCATCATAAAGCTGAGGGTGAAAAAGTGCATGATGCGTGCAAACAAAACAATAATAAAGCGCATCTCCAAGGCAAAGGAATAGGCAAGTGTAACCGAAAAGCGAACGTAATCCAATCAAGAAAAGCTTACCCATACGCTTTTGATACTCATTATTTTCATTTTGGTGGAAGTTTGTCTTCCGACAGATTCGTGGAAGCGGCCGCTCGAACGAAGATAGCATATTCGATGTTTTGCACAGCAACAGGATTATCAGCGGTCGAGCTGGCTGCATCGGCCTATTCGGAGTTTATATTCAAACACTTGAAGTGACGAAACAAGCTACAAGAAACCCAATACTTCAAAATATAAAGCGAGTGTATTCCAATCTGGAAGGTAAAGTAGAATTTAATTCTAGCAACAGAAACAGAACAAGAACCATTCAACCCAATCTATAACCCGTAATCCGTAGCCCATAAGTAATATAGTATACAGTACCGGGCACTGAGTCACTCAATCCCAGTATGTACGTCAAAAAAGAAAGATACCATCACCAGCAACGAGTCCTCGCACATAAACATAAGCATGAGATATGTACAAGAGGCGCGCGAGACGTCCACGGACGGCATCAAATAATCTCAGACGCACATTCTGCAAGCTCTACACGCGCGTAGATGGAGAAGCGCCGCTCAGCCGCTCAGGAATGTGAAGGATTTACTGAGGGGGGAGGGGGAAGCCCGAGGGAGGGGGGCCTGTGGGGGTAGCGGTAGGGGTGCCACTTGAGGAAGAGCCGCTGGGGGTGGGACCCGATGGGGTAGGGAAGAACTGGCGCTTCTCGAAGCCGCTGGGAGCGTCGGTGGGGAAGGGAGGGGGAGTGCCCGAGGGAGTGCCCGAGGGAGTGCCTGAGGGGGTGCCTGAGGGGGTGCCTGAGGGGGTGCCTGAGGGGGTAGGGGTCGAGCTCGAGGGAGTCGAGAAGCTACTGGGCTCAGGGAACTGGCGCTTGCCGAAGGGGAAGCCGCCGAAGCCCTGGCCGGCCGGGGCGGAGGGGCTTCCGGTTGGAGAAGGGGTACCGCTGAGGGTGCTGCTGAGGGTGCTGCTGAGGGTGCTGCTGGGGGTACCGCTTGGGGTGCCGGTTGGCTGCTCCTGACGCTTCTCGACGGGGAGGGTGAAGGGCAGGCTGGAGGAGATCTCGCCTAGCAGGTCGGGGAAGCCGTCGCGTTTCTGGAAGGCGATGGGGGTGGGGGTGCCGCTGGGAGGGGGGCCCGAGGGTGTCGCCGAGGAGGTCGCCGAGGAGGTCGCCGAGGAGGTCGCCGAGGAGGTCGGGAAGCCGGTTGGGGGAAGGCCAGTGGGAGTGGGAGCGTCACTGGGGGAACCGGGGAAAGGAGCGGGAGGACCCTGGGGCAGGGCGAGGGCGCAGCCCATCAAGCCCATAGCGGCGAAGCCGGTGTACTTCATTGTGAAAGATTGGTGTTTATAAATTTATGAAACAAGTAAAGAATGGAGGTGTATAAATTGCGAAACAGGCTTTGATATATGGGATGGATATATCAAATGTAAGACTGATAGTTCGAAAAAGAAGGGAAAGTCTGGTCTGGAGGAATGGAGCAGTCTTTATAAGACTGGCCGCTGTATCAGGATTGATCTGGGAGCATTGGGTCATCAGGCCAGTATGGATTCCGTGATCGGGCCATGACTTCAGTTCTATCGCCCCAGAAGGCTGGCCAGGTGGACAGGCTAGACCATCCACCAAACAATCCAAGTGGGTATTGACGATCTTCACCTTCAGGGACCTTATGGTCGTCAGGGACAGCGCCAGGGATGGGGCCCAGCAGGTACCCGGCAACTGCGGTGTCTGGGGCTGAGGTATTTTCCAAGGCGTTGCAGGAACCGATAGCCCAGCCAACGTGGAAGAGGTGAAAAAGTGGTCCCTGGATCCTTCAACAGGGCAGGTATCGACAGTTCGGTTAGGCTGCAGGCGCCAAAGGCAGGTACCAGAAAATAGGGCGACGATCATATTCCGTGTATATCAATGATCTGCCGTGATAGTCTGTCCGTATCACATCCTAGGGCTTCGATGTCGTTCGTAGGACCTGCCCAATGCAGACGGCGCTCCAGGAGAAGAAAACGGGACCGGCCGATGAATGCTTTGAGAAAGAGGTCCGTTAAGCTTGTTTCCCTGCGAACCCTGCATTCAGGGTTGTCTGCATTGTGCCAATTAGCCCCTCTTCGGCGTGCCAGAGCACATCATAGCCGCACACCATGATGGCTGGGGGCCGCATCAGCATCTCATCATTTCCAGCCCCATGGAGCAATCCCTGTCACAGCGTGGCAGTTCCTTCGTTTCACGCTGGATTTGCCACAGCGCGTCCATCGAGGCTGATACAGTCTGTGTCACAGAATTCCCACGTATCCACGGAATAAAGTGGACTCGAACGTTATGCATTGGGGAATAGATTGGCGGAGCCACTGATTGATAAGTGAGGTCCAATGGTCACTAACGGATCGGCGATATGGGCCTCCTGGTTGTTCCCAATGAGGGTCTTAGTAGCGTGCTCAATCCAAGAACCAGTGCGACTCAAAATTGGACTTTTCCCAACGGTTGAAGATGGAACATCCGCGGATGCTCAGTCACCGATGACATAGGCTGTAAATAGACAGATGCCCTTGTTCCAGGGTAAAAGTAGAGTGGCGGATCCCAAAGAATAAAACATCACAGTCGTCGTCAGCGCTGAAGGAATTGGGGGTTGGGGCTGGACTGAGGAAGTCTGACTGGATCAAGCAATGTCTGCTCCAGCAGGGTGGGTCCCGTGGCATGAAAGATCGACGGCTCCTGAACTTCCTCTTAGCTCTTCCCAATCTCGATACAATTTGCCATACACGCGTTGCAGCCTGCATATCCATGATCCATGATCTATGTCTGCGTCTCGACTTCATCTTGGCATATCGTCTTTGTTGTTCACTGGCCCCGAGGGCCCCCGGGGCCATAGCGCTTGAAACTCCGCTGACTAAATTTATAAATGCCGATTCTTTCCTCATATTGGTTTGCCGAACCCCCACTGTCTTCTATGTAGTTGGCTATGCAGTTGCCAAGCTTGTCTTCCAAGGTTTGAATCCACGGGGCCATTTGGATTGATTTGCCTTTGAGCCGGTTGGGGCCGGAGCTTATGGTGGGAAAGGGCTTAGCTTCAGGGCCGACTAGCGCCACGGGCAGAAGCTCGTATCCTTAACCTAAAACCCTGAGACCTGATACTAAAACTACATGTGCACTATTATTGTACAGGGTGTATAGCCGGAATCGGGACTAACAGTCTCGAGCTTGATCTCATCTTGGGGCCGTGGCTGCTGCTCTTGCCACCTGGCGTATGTACGCGCAACACTTCCCCGCTATACATACATTCGAGACCGTCACATGTCTGTCAGATAACCAAGGATGAAGAAAGGAAAGCAAATCATTGTGAATCCGTTGGATGCAATATTCATGCCGAAATCTGAAACCAAAAGGAAATGCTATAGAGGTAGTCTAGAAAGGGGGAATTGTATAGCGGGCGGTGGGCCCAGGCCGTGTTACAACGCCAAACCCTATAAAGAACGAAGCCGGAGCAAATGTAGTGAAGAAACCCGAATATACTGTAGTGGATGCTGTGTCGCATGTGTCAAAAGGGGTGCAGGAAATGTGCTTCCCATGCCAATTGACCAGCCGATTCAGGGGACTAGAATGATTAGCGGCCTGTGGGTGTTGAGCACCGATGGTACCTGAACTGCCCGTTAAAGCTCTTCAGTGCCGCTGTTTGCGCATGGAAAGGTCAGGAGAGCTCGGATGGATTGTTGGTGTTGGGGTCATGCCGAGCAGATGGCGGGATGAGGGTGGTACGGTCGTGGAAAACTCACGAGCCGAAGAGGCATAAACCTGCTTCGGCGAGGCTCGATAAGTGGGAGCGGAAGAATTGTAGGTTAGGCCAGAAGAGAATGAGGATCGCCGGGATCGGACGGGGTGGCGGAGCCCGTAGTTTGCAGTTGCTCCACTAAAGGAAATTGACTCCGAGGACGCTCGATGGCCTGCCGGTCGAGGTCGGACTGTGTACAAGCGCGGGATTTCGTAGTCATCATCGCTGCTAGATCCGATATCGAATATTGCTCCGTTGTTGTAGGATGCCGAAGATGTCCGGCGGTGGGTCCTCGGTTGCATTGACTCGTTTGATAGAGTTAGAGGTGGGTTCTCGAGAGATACGGTGCTGCGTGCTTTGCGCAATTCTCGGACTGGTTGTTGCCGCGATTGCCCACCTGAACGTCGTTTTTCCAGTTCATGGCTGTGGGAGCCACGCCGTCTGTGGCGTCCGCCTCTTCCATTGCTGTCTACTGAACCAATCGAGTGACGAGAGGGGTTGGGCATTCGTAAATCGACCTGACTCGGACTGAAGGCTACCCGGGCCCGCATCTTCTGAATCGCACTATCTAGTGCGAGCTCGATAGCGCAGTGGTTTCGGATCCGGCTCAGCCGTGGCCATGTCGCCCGTTCGCCGCTTAGGCATGCCGCAAGCATGAACTCCGTGGTCGGATTTTCCAAGAGTCGGGGGAAGTTGGAGGATATGAGTTCCGGATAGATGTTGATATCACCGTGATATTTCTGCTTTACGATGGAAGCGAACTTGGTCATCGATGTTGGGAAAACTCCGAGTTCTGAGAGGACATTCATTCGATGAAGAACCTCGTCTTTTGCAAGGTGTGTCATCGTGTTCATCCATCGAGGAATGAAGGATTGTCCGTCTTCTGCCTCGACCTGGGGTCCTTCTTCCTTGGGGAGGAATGGCACTACATGAGGATTGACTTGGGAGACGATGAAATGGTTGACGTTGAACATCTCTGATAACCTGGTCATTGGCAGATCGCCGTCGACAGAGCCGTCAATGTATTGCTTATGGAGGTCATTCCACGGCACTGTTTCTCCTGTCAAAGGATCTTTGGCCATCAGGGTGAATGGTCTGAACACGAAAGGCACAGAGCATGATACAGCCCTTGATTGACATTAGCAGGGAGCAGAGAAAAACGGAGCAGATCACTTACACAGCAGACCAAATCAACACATTCGGCGCAGAGATATAGTTCAGCAACCGCGGAAGCTCATACATACCGGCACTCGAGACGCAGATATTCATGATCCTGCGAGTGCGGTTGTATGCTTCCTGGAAGGTCAGATCTCCTAGCCAGCTTCTCATGGTATTCGCCAAATGCGATATATCAAGGAACGACCCGAATTTCAAAAAGCGAGTCATCTTCTGCAAGAGATTTTCTTCCTGGCCCTTCTTATTGAAAACAGCAAAGTCTCCATGCACATAGGTATCCAGCAGCGCCGGCAGTTCGTCATCTGTACGTGTGCCGAAGACTGCGCACACAATACTACCAGCAGATGCTCCTGAAATGATGCGAGGAATCATTTTGGCCTCATAGAGAGCCTTGAGAACCCCAATATGGGTCATACCGAAAGTCGCCCCCCCAGAGAAAAGCAGACCGCTGCGGCCAAAAGCCTGCCGAGCTGCGAGCAACTGGTCCAGGATATACTTCAGCTCCAGTCCATCGCAACGATTATGGACGGACAGATCGACCAGCGTAGTGATAGTCTCCAAGGCGGTGGTGATATACCGATCAATCAAGTCCTTAGTACCAATATGCGAATGCCGATAAAGAGATGCATTGCTCATATGCGCCAGATCCCGACTCAGCGCCGTGCGCACGAGAAACAGCATCCGACTCACATCACAACTAATCCGCGCCTCTTCCAGCTGTCGCAACCGATCCTGGACCAACTGATTGTCGTATTCGGGGGACTCGAACGTCTGCTTCCAAGCGTTGTTGTCTTCCAGTTCGTCGAGTTCGCTGGCGCAACTTCGCCATTCCTCGTACGACACGGCCTGCAGTCCCGAGTGTTGGTTAGCCAAGATGATTCTGCATATGCGACCGCCCCTAGCGCCCAGGTGCACAGCATAGACTTACATTTTTCATGTGCATATACAATATCTGCTTCCGGTCCTCGATCTCGGCCTTTCGTTTTCGTTGTTCTTTGTTGAGGCCATCGCGGTAGGTGTGTAGGGTGTCGCCGGCCCAATTCCATGAGTCCTTCACCAGGGATGACACGGCTGGTATCGATACTGCTTTCCGCAGGGATCGCGGGGGTTGGGATTTGGTGTGGACATGTTCTGAGTGTTCGGTTGCTTGCTTGCGTCCATGATGGCACTGGACTATTGTGGAGTCGCCCAACACCGACATCGCAGGCCTGTGCATCGGAAGCAAGCCATCCGGGTTCCGAAATGTAGCCCAAGGTCAAGGTCAAGATCAGAAAAGACTTAGACTAGAATAGTAAGAATATGAAGAGTTGCAAGAGTCAAGAGTTAAGTGAACTGGGCGGTCTGAAAAACGTCACGAGGATCCGCCCGATCTATTTTCCCCGGAATTGGGCCGCCTAACTTGACCCAGTCTTTCAGCCTTCAGGTTTGGAATGTAGCAATCACGCGACTTGGCGTCGACTTGGGGTATCAAATTATTGATAACCGGTAATCGCCGGTTATGCAGTCACTTTACTTCCTATGATCTCACGCATCATCTGAACACACCCCAGATCCCGGTGGGGAAACATTTCCCTCACCGGGAAGATCCTTAAATAACTTGAATGTTGGCAGGGCAGTGTTGGCAATGTTTTATTCGTCTCTTACATTGTAGTCAATTTCACCTGATTATGTTCTCTGTCTCCCATCTGATATCATCTGATATGATCTAAACATCTATGTATTCCCTAACTATATGCATCCTAGATCGCGAGCTTATCAGAACCCCTGGGGCCCCGGGGGGCTTGTTCACATGCATGCAGCATGTGCGCTCCGATCTTCACGTGTCAAGGAACTCCGTATACCACAATAGGTCAACATATTTGAGTGGAATAGCTACCTGGGCAGCAACTGATATCATATCTGACCAAGCCACACCTTCAACGCATGTCTTGCCCGCATTTCAACCCCATCTTCGCGCCAAAAGTGGCCCGCGCCATCGATTTTCCGAAATTGGAACTGACTGCGCGGCATGTGCGCCATTTCGTCTGACCACCTCTCCAGTTTCCCAGCAGAGGTGAATGTATCCTGGTCGCCGAAGAGCGCTAGAGTGTGGTGGGTGCTCTGCTGGTCTGCTGGACGACAGGGGATGCGGGTATCACTCCCAGTATCCGCTTTCACATTCAGTGATAAGGTCGAGAAGGAGGTTAGGAGGTGGCTAATTGGGGGTAGGAGCGGAGACACGAGAAGGTAGGAGATGGAGGTTGTCAAAGCGGTGGGGTTGATGTCAGCTAGACTGTGACTGTGAGTCATTGGGAATTTCTCCAGGGTTGATGTAGCTATCCGCATTGATGCTTTGCATATCTCGGATTTTGGCGTTGGTTTATGCGTGGAGGCTGAGGTTGATGTCGGCCCGGATCGGAAAATGTCCAGCATGACTTCGAGTGATGGGACGTGGGAGGCGATTAAGGACCCGTAGGAGTAGCCGCCCAGGACGAGACGTACATCTGGGCTTTCGTCTTCGCCCGTGTTGTGAAGTTTGGATGAGTTTGCTTGGTCACTTGGGGAGAATGCAAGCTTTAATTGATGAAGATACTTCAACATGAACCCGTAGAATGAGACATAATCTCCTAGCTCGGGTTTGGCAGTCCAGCTTGTTCGTCCTTCAGAGTTCCCGGCTCCGCTATAGAGTGTATTAGCTGCTTGGGTTCATGATCCAATACCAGGAGTAGGTAATATAATAGTACCGGAAATTGAAGGTTCCGACGATGCAGTCTGAATGTAACAGCTCGCCGCCGATGAAACCCACGACAGGATCGTCATAGCAGCCTCCCAAAGGTGCGTATGGGTGTGCGACGATGGCGCCGCGGTTTTCCCAAGCTGTTGCTGATTCTATATTTTGGAATGCGGGTGGGAGATAGATGCGACATTCCAGCTGTTTGCCATCATGGATTGAGGGGATCGCGAATGAAAAGGTCGGTAATGGAAGATCCATCATTGTATTAATCGTACGGCATGGTTATTTGCCTCGAAACGCTGGTGAACTGTTGATAGGAAGAAGTCCAGGGAGTGTCTTCGGTGAGGCCTCGGGTCCGTCCCCCAGTGGAACTCGCGGTTTGGACGCAACATGAACATGACTTCCAGGATCAAACAATCCTAGTATACATAATGGAATTGATGATGCCTCAAACCTAGAATAAACTTTTACGGAAGAGGCAAGGGAATAGAGGGATGATTTTCAATCTAAAAAGCCGAAGTATATGTTAATATTTACTTAGATCGTGTCACAAATATATATCATAATTCATTATATACTCCATCAGGTCAACCAAGCGGGATCTGGCTCATCATCATCTTCTGACCTTGACCCAGTATCCGAATGATGAGAATCTGCATCCTTCAGCAAGTCAGCTGGAGGTTCCGGGTCGTCGTGGGCTAGCGGATCCTCATAGGGGGGCTGATGGTCTTCATCCTGGCCCTGGTCCTTCGGAGAAGCATCGCCAGTCGAGTTCAGGGGTGTATCCTCTTCATGCACCGGCAAGCCGAATGCGGGAAGAAGCATACCCCTTGCTTCCCGCAGAGCTTCTAGCTCAGCTGCAATGCAGCAAACCAATAGCTTCCAATCCTTGTCCTCGGCGAGCTCCAAATGCGATTCAACGCATTGGGTAGTCTTTTCCAAATCATCCAAGATATTCTTAACAAGTTCGTCTTTGTAGTCTGTCGATGTGGATCGTTCGGACTCGGTCGCTGGCGTGGACATCTCAACATAATGTCGCATGTTGGCCCTGAGGCGCTTCTCAAAGCCGGTGACGTCGGTCACTGCTTGTTTCCACACTCCGCCTCCTTCTTCCAGCGCCAGAATCTCTCCATCTACTTTCTGTTGTCTACTGCGTAAACCGACTTGCTCAGAGTTCCAATGTTCCCGGGCCATGTCAAGTGTGCGGCGTTTAGGGTTCAAGGAGTGGAAGGTTGATTCACCCGAACGTTGCGACATCGGTTGAATGGGAGGGTCTCGGAGGTATTTTCGGATATCGGAGTCGAGTATGGACAAAGATTCAGTATAGGAAGATAGCTTCGCGTCGACCGAGTTGTTGATATGTGAAATCTCACTGACAAGATGTCGATGTTTAGCTTTCATCTCATACAGCCTGGTCTCCAATTCATGAATGTCAGTCGCGAGGGCCCGAGCCTCTTCTTCTAGTTGCTTTGAATGCTGGCTTTCCTGATCGCCATGTATAGAAGCGATGGCTTCTTCGAGACCGGTTCTTTTTGAGAGAAAGCTCTCTATATCATGTAGCGCGCTTTCTCTCTCCTCCGTTTGAGTCGTAATGATAGCTCGTTCTTCCTCTCGCAGCTTCAGTAGGTCATAGATCGATTGGAAGATGCCATCTCGAGCAGCCCGAAGTCCAATTTTCTTGGATGCAGGTTGCCTAGCGCGGACCGCAGAAGGGGATTGCGAGCGACTAGCTTCGGAAGTGTTTCGACTCAAGCTTCTGCTGTAGGATTCGTCTGACCGTGGTCGTGCCAGTCCAGAGAGAAGGCCGTCGCTTTGCGCGTCAATCAGAACCTGAAGATTACGCTGTATGTGTTTCGTCTGTCGTTCAACATATAGGAGAGGGTCATGATGGTACGTCGAAGCTGCTGCTGGGACTGGAGGCAGCCTCTTATCACGGAACGATTGCTGGAGAAGTGTTGACATGGCGGACAGGGAAGCGTGGCCGGCGGAGCTTCAAACTGGAGTTGGAGCTACGTGGCCCTGGGAAAAACAGCTATTTAGTAGTTTGCAGGCATGGATCAGCCAGCTGTGAAGGAGATCACCAGACCAAAGTAAGAATCACTCGCCAGGTGATTCCAGGTCCGTCCGCGGCCTTGCAGCTGATGAGCACGTGACGTGCACAGTCAGCAGTCAGCTCTCCCGTCAACGTCAGTCTCGCGCCTGCAAGCTTCTGTTGTCTGCTTCCAGCTTCTATTTGTACGTGCCCTTCATCCATTTCGTCTCTTTCATTTAATCATCTTCTGTATTTCTTGCTATATTCTCTTTTCTCGGGGCACCTGATTACCCCTTTGTACCTTGTTCGACCCTGGGGCTGATTCGCTGTTCTCCAAGCTCCCTCCCGATCCCGTTGCTTCATCACAGCAACAACAGATCGATCTATCCTCGAAACCCATCCCGTGAATTTCGACGCGAGCCGTCTATCCCAATCAAGATGGTCGGACTCGTATCGGCCGCCGGTTTGGTCGGATTTCTCTCCGAGCCTGACCCAGAGCTTAAGGTCTTTGCATTGAAGTCATTAGATTCTCAGATCGATCTGCTCTGGACAGAAGTTGTGAATGCTGTTCCTGACATGTGAGTTTTTTTCTCTCCCAGAATTGTGACAGCTTGGATCAGTCTTCGCTCTTGCGCCATTCCTGCCGAGTCCGACCGATGACTGCACCCCTGCTAACTCTTCCTCCAGTGAGGCTCTCTATGAAGACGAATCCTTCCCAGAACGCGGACTCGCGGCGTTAGTTGCTTCGAAGGTATACTACCATTTGCAGGAATATAATGAGAGCATGGTCCTTGCTCTGGGCGCTGGAAAGCTGTTCAAGTTGGAGAACGGCGGCGAATATGAGGAGACCATCATTGGTAAGTTGAGAACCATCACCATCATCCTGAATTTGGATGGTTAATACTCGATTGAACACAGCGAAATGCGTCGACACTTTCATCTCTCTATCTGCTGCCCAACGGCCTACTGCTGACCAGTCCGCCAACCTGAACACCTCTTTCCCATCATCAGGCGACGGCGCCACCAGCACATCTGCAAGCCTCACATCCCCCATCACACCGTTCTCGAAGTCCGCGTTGCCATCGAAATCATTGCTCTCTCGCGCCGAGGTTCCCGGTATTGACGCCGCCCACCCCGGTGGCGATGACACCAGTGTTCAGCACGAGGAGACCCCCCTCGTACTGAAGCGCGGTGTCCAGGGCCAACTCCAGACTGTTATTGAGCGTCTGTTCGAAGAATGCTTCCGCCAGAAGCGATACCGTCAAGTTATTGGAATTGCCATCGAGGCCAAGAGTCTGGATGTGCTCCGCATGGCTATCCTGCGCGCTAGCTCCGACGAGAAGCAGCAGCAGGGCGATTCTCGCAGCAGCGAGGAGCTGATGGAGTATGTTCTAGATATTTGCATGGGCATTGTCCAAGAGCGGGCCTTCCGCAGCGAGGTTTGTGATCCCAAGCCCCCGTATGAAATGAGTCAACTAACGGTATTCCTTCTAGATCCTCAAACTTATCTTGGAACTGCTGAATGAGATCCCGGCCCCTGACTACTTCTCAATTGCCAAATGTGTTGTCTTCCTTAATGAACACTCTATGGCCTCCGTCATTCTTCGTCAGCTGGTCGAGAAAGGTGATTCCCGCTCCCTTGCGGTCGCCTACCAAATCTCCTTCGACCTTTACGACAACAGCACACAAGAATTCCTTCAGAAGGTTCGGCAAGAAATCGCTGAGCTTGTCCCCGAAAGCGAAACCGAGAAGGAAAACGAGGATGAGAATGAGCCAAAGGAGTCTGACGCATTACTTGAAGACCAGGGCAGCTCTTCCCGGCCTTCGGGTGATAAGAATACCAATCTGCCGGATGATGCGATCACAGCATTTAAAAACATTCTCCAGATTCTCGATGGTATTAAGACTATCCAGCTGAACCTAGAATTCCTATACCGAAACAACAAGGCGGATATCGCGATTCTGAACAAGATTCGCGACAGCCTCGAAGCTCGCAATTCTATCTTCCACACTGCAGTGACTCTCTCGAATGCCTTCATGCATGCGGGAACCACCCATGACAAGTTCTTCCGTGACAACCTGGAATGGCTCGGCAAGGCAGTCAACTGGTCCAAGTTCACGGCTACTGCCGCATTGGGCTGTATCCACCGCGGCAACCTGAGCCAGGGTCAGAAGCTTCTCCAGCCTTATCTACCCCGTGAGCACATCGCTGGGGTCGGAGGCTCTGGATCTGTCTACAGCCAAGGTGGTTCGCTCTATGCCTTCGGTCTTATCTACGCCAACCACGGTGGTATGGCCGTTGACATCATCCGGGACCACTTCAAGAAGGCCACAGAAGAAGTCGTTCAACACGGTGGAGCTCTTGGTCTGGGTGTTGCCGGTATGGCCACGGGTGACGAAGGCATTTTCGAAGACCTGCGGACCGTTCTCTACACTGATTCCGCCCTCAACGGAGAGGCTGTCGGCCTTTCCATGGGTCTCATCATGCTTGGCACTGGTAACATGAAGGCTCTCGAGGACATGATCCAGTACGCACACGAAACACAGCACGAGAAGATCGTCCGTGGTCTCGCCATGGGCATGGCTTTGATCATGTATGGTCGCCAGGAAGGTGCCGACGAGCTGATCAATGGTCTCCTCGGCGACCCTGACCCCACCCTCCGCTACGGTGGTATCATGACCATTGCCCTGGCTTACTGTGGCAGTGGCAGCAACAAGGCAGTTCGCAAGCTTCTGCATGTTGCGGTCAGTGATGTCAACGATGATGTGCGTCGCGTCGCTGTTCTCAGCTTGGGCTTCATCCTGTTCCGCAAGCACCAGAGCGTTCCTCGCATGGTTGAGCTACTTTCTGAGTCGTACAACCCCCACGTCCGCTACGGTGCTGCCATGGCGCTTGGTATTTCTTGTGCTGGAACTGGCCTGGACGAAGCAATTGATCTCTTGGAGCCCATGCTCAAGGACTCGACCGACTTCGTTCGCCAGGGAGCCCTGATCTCCCTCGCCATGGTCCTCGTCCAGCAGAACGAGGCTATGAACCCCCGTGTTACCAGCCTTCGCAAAACCATGATGAAGATGCTTGGTGACCGCCACGAAGATGCCATGGCCAAGTTCGGTTGTGCCATTGCCCTCGGTATCATTGATGCCGGTGGCCGCAACTGCACCATCAGCTTGCAGACACAGACCGGTAACCTCAACATGCCCGGTATTGTTGGTGCCGCAGTCTTCGTCCAGTACTGGTACTGGTTCCCTCTCACACATTTCTTGTCGCTCAGCTTCGCCCCGACATCCGTCATTGGCGTTGACCAAAAGCTTGAGGTCCCCCACTTCAAGTTCCACAGCAACACCCGCCCCAGTCTCTTCGACTATCCCCCTGAGCAACAGGTGAAGACCGAAGAGGCCCCCGAGAAGGTGAAGACTGCCGTGCTTTCTACCACTGCCCAGGCCAAGCGCCGTGCTCAGCGTCGGGAGAAGCAGGCTCGCCGTGAGAGCATGGACATTGATCAGACCCCTACGACACCAAAGGTCTCTGATCAGCTACCGGATGCTATGGAGACGGAAGACACCAAGGCTGAAGGCGAAGAAGGCACCGAGACCGAGAAGGCTGCCTCCGAGGGTCAGAAGAAGAAGGCGGAACGGGAGAAGGTCGGATACGAGTTGGACAACCTGTCAAGGGTACTCCCAGCTCAGCTCAAATACCTCACTTTCCCAGACCCGCGGTATGAGCCGGTAAAGAGGGTATGTTCAATCCTACATACTATCACAAATCTTGCGCTAACTCAGTATTTTTAGCCCACTGGTGGTGTTGTCGTTGTCCTCGACAAGCAGCCCGACGAGCCTCGCGAAGTTGTTGAGCTCAAGGCCAGCAAGGAAGCTCGCCAGTCACCCCCTCAGACCGAAACACTCCAGGACCGCCTGCAAGCGGCTATCGGCACCGCGGCCCTGCAAACCCCTCAACGGGCTGATGCTCGGGCTGCCCTGTCTGCTGCTACTGCTGGTGGAGCCAGTGCTGCTGCCGGTGTTCTAACGGCGGTGGACGAAGATGAAGAAGGTGTGGAGGACGCGCCTTGCCCTGACGAGTTCTCGTACGAGTCAGATGGTGAGGAGGAGTAAGGAGATGCGTCATAGAATCTTGATGCTGGATGTATTACTAGACTAATCAGGCTGTCTATCTGGACCTGATCTATTGGAAGCTGATGTGGCTTTCAACTGATTGATATGAGACTTCCTTTGTTTATCCACTTTGTAAATTGCACTGCATTCTCCACGTAAGCTTGTTCTGCACCGTAGAATCTGCCATAAGCAGTATGCCTTGATTTTAAAAGTGTCATGGCGGCGTCTCGTGGGCATTTGAAATTGGGCTCTAGGATGCAGGTACTTGCACATGCAAGCATGGGAGTAGCTAATGTTATACCATGACTGGACTCTCCCGTACTTACTGTTGTTACACATATCCAGGCTTTTTACAGTCGGAATATATAGTTTCTCTAGTTAGTAATATACACTTGATCTGTTCAACTTTTAACTATGTGCGATAATTGATCCTTTGTCCTTCTATACTCATCGATCACATGCTCCCTCAGCTCACCGCCCTGCACGTGTGTCTGCCTCGGCATTCTGACTATGACGCACCTCGAGCCAATAAAGAGTCCAACAACGGGGATGACCGAAGCGATCAGCAGCCGACAGACAAGAGACTAAGGGATTCTTACGCTTTGCTGCACAAATGTACATAGAGCATGTGAACTTATTTTCATACTCCGAGGCCCCCTTTGGAATCCTACACCACTTGTCCTGGTTTGGAATATATCCCGAACTAACCGGAAATTATTTATGAAACCCCAGACTCATATATCTTTCCTTCAGCTTCCCCGGACTTAACTATTTTTCTTCTCTCCCCACCTTACACCCTTTGCTCACCATATTCTATCTTTACCTCCCCGCCGCACCTCTTACCTCTTACTCTCGCCCCCGACACTATGGCAAAGACATTTAGCAAAGACGACGTCGCGTCGCACAGCAAGGGCGACAACCTCTGGATCGTGATCGATGAAGACGTCTACGATGTATCCAAGTTCCAAGACGAGCACCCTGGTATGTCCGAAGTCATGCGCCACCCTGCGTAAGGATCACATGCTAACATTCCTTATCTGAACAGGCGGAAAGAAGAGTACGTCGTCACCGAGGCTAACCGCCACTCCCAAGAGCAGTATATTGACTATGCACGTTTAGTTCTCCAGCGCGTTGCCGGAAAGGACGCCTCGAAGCAGTTCTGGAAGTACCACAATGAGGGCATTTTGAAGAAGTACAAGGGTCAGCTGCAAATCGGTTCGTTGGACACCAAGAAGGCCGCTGAGCCGGCGCCGGCGCCGGCTCCTAAGAAGGCTGCTCCCGAGCCCAAGCCTCAGTCTGAGTCCTCTTCTTCTGTGACGCCGCCTGCTACCGGTGCGCCGCAGGATCCTTACGGAGATTTGATTCCTTTCGCCGACCCTTCATGGTACCAGGGTGTAAGTTTTGCTACCTCGGCTAAATCGGGGTATACAGAGACTAATGTATGTTTTTCTGCGTCCTTAGTATGCCTCCCCCTACTTTAACGATTCCCACGCCGCCCTCCGAGACGAAGTCCGCCAGTGGGTCGAGTCCGAGATTGAGCCATATGTGACCGAATGGGACGAGGGCAAGGAGGTCCCGCCCCATATCTACAAGCAGATGGGTGAGCGAGGATACCTGGCCGGTCTGTTGGGTGTCACATACCCTGTGAATCACACCCCGCACCGCGTGCAGTCGGTGACACCAGATCGCTGGGACTTGTTCCACGAGATGCTGTTGACCGACGAACTGTCGCGTGCAGGCAGCGGCGGTCTGGTCTGGAACTTGATCGGAGGCTTCGGCATTGGATGCCCACCCCTGGTCAAGTTCGGCAAGAAGCCTCTGGTCGACCGAATCCTGCCGGGTATCCTGGCCGGCGACAAGCGTATCTGTCTTGCCATCACCGAGCCTGATGCGGGCAGTGACGTCGCCAACTTGGGCTGCGAGGCCAAGCTGAGCGAAGATGGCAAGCACTACATCGTAAACGGCGAGAAGAAGTGGATCACAAACGGTATCTGGTCCGACTACTTTACCACCGCCGTGCGCACCGGCAAGCCCGGCATGAACGGAGTCAGTGTCCTCCTCATCGAACGCGAAGCCGGCGGTGTTAGCACCCGCCGCATGGACTGCCAGGGTGTATGGTCCAGCGGCACAACCTACGTAACCTTTGAAGACGTCAAGGTACCAGTCGAGAACCTGATCGGCAAGGAGAACCAAGGGTTCAAGGTGATAATGACAAACTTCAACCACGAGCGCATCGGAATCGTAATCCAGTGCCTGCGTTTCTCGCGTGTCTGCTACGAAGAATCCATGAAGTACGCACACAAGCGCAAGACCTTCAACAAGCCCCTCATCGAGCACCCCGTCATCCGCATGAAACTCGCCCACATGGCCCGCCAGATCGAGGCTACCTATAACTGGCTCGAGAACATAATCTTCCAGTGCCAGAGCATGGAAGAGACAGAGGCCATGCTCAAGCTTGGCGGTGCTATTGCCGGTTTGAAGGCCCAGTCTACTACTTGCTTCGAGTTCTGCGCTCGCGAGGCGAGTCAGATCTTCGGTGGGCTGAGCTATAGCCGTGGTGGACAGGGTGGTAAGGTCGAGAGGCTTTACCGTGATGTTCGTGCTTATGCAATCCCTGGTGGTAGTGAGGAGATCATGCTTGACCTTAGTATGCGTCAGAGCTTGCGTGTTCATGGCATGTTTGGCATGAAGCTATAGAGCATTCGTTTGTGTGTTGATTCTTGGGTTTGACGATAGAGATTTGCCCGTCCCTCGTCTTGGTTCATGATTGTTTCCCTGTTTTTTTTTTTTGGCTAGATATCCTTTCGTCTGTGACTGCTTCTTTTTGGTTGATCTTGCTATGGTTTGTCTTGTATCATACGTTGAATTTTTTTGTATATTTCTTGGTTCATGGTGAGATCACCTTTTTTGGATCTTTGCTTCATAGTACTTCGGATTTTGAGATATAAGATTTATTTATTCATTTACTTTTTGCCTTTCGAGTGGTTAATAATTTCTTTGTCTTCGATCTGCATACTTTATTGCCGTGGCTCGTTTCACCCATCGTTCTTTGATAAAGGCTACTTCCATGAAAGGTCGGTATATTCCAAGCCAAAGAGCTACATGGTTCCTACGGTCTACTCGAAAACGGGGCATGTATTTGATATGGTACAGGCCTCGACTTGATTCGGCGACACGATCACAATGTTGACTTCGAGCAGAAGCGCTGCGGAATTATTGGCCTTTGTCATTTCTTCCGTTTTCTTTGTTTCCAGCCCTTCGAAAATTCTCTAACTCGGATTTATTTTTAGATAAAAGGCAGGCTATAGGCGCTCACTACATACGCGTCCGTATGATATAACCATATGATCCTGCATTGAATCTGAAGAGAGAATCTAACCACCATGGATAACCCAACCCCGGATATCAACCTATTCCCCACGCCCAATCACCCTCTTCTGCAAAGGATCCTTGAGGATGGAACCGCGACTACTTCCCCACCCACCGCGCTCGTATTCGTCTCCATGATTGCCCAACGAATACGCCATCGCAGTGAGCCCGATGTTACTCCTCTCCAGTTCAGTGGGTTCAAGGGTTCGAATGCCATTGGTCTAAATTGGGTTAGAATCCTCGAAAGAACTCAACCGGACAGGCGCGCCCTTGAGCTCACCGTCTACCATCTTGATCTCACCACCATGCCCGAGGACATGTTTAAGCTTCTCCTCCCATTATTACTGCATATCATAACCGATAAGCCGAGTACAACGGACTTCCATGCCCTGCATGTCTTTGTTGAAGAAGTACCAAGGCTGGCCGTGATGGCGTGGCAATGGCTACGAGACGGCCCAGGCGCACAATATCTCAACATCCACTTCAAGCCCTCGCAGGTCTACCCAGATTTCAAGACAGCCCACAACAACGCAGAGCAAATACGGCTCAACCGCAGAGCCAGCAACATGACCGGTACCAAACAGAAGACCTACTTTTACAACTTTATATCAGAATGTCATTGCACCGGATGCATCGCAATGGCAAGCCAGCTTGGTTTATTCAATGTCATAGGATACGACATGTACGGAAAATCCGCTCTTCATGCGGCAATTGAAGCAGTCCCATTATTCCCGGGCAGCGAAGGAGGCCTGGTACTATGGTTGCTTGATGAAATTCTGAACGCCGGGGTCGATCCCAGACATATGCCCACAAGCATCGGGGGAATGTCCATCCCACACCATGTGGCGCGTATGAAAGACCCACAAGTGTTTATGGCGATGGTCCAAAAGTTCTCATCGAAAGGCTTCCCTATACTTCTGTGGAATGATGATGGTCTCAAGCTCCAGTTGTGTAGCTTCGCTTCTCGATACATGGCTGAATGGCTGTGGCGGTATGAAAAATTCAATATTGCATATCTTCCTAGGAACACCCTTCCCTACCGTCTTCCGCCAGAGGGTGATCCTATTTATGATAATTTACCGCTTCATCACCTGTGGAACCGGGATGCTGAATATGGTGACCCTATTGATCATTCCTTTTTCGATGGCGTACCTACTAGGGCCGATTTTGCTATCGCTTATGTGAATGACCCAGATATTCCTCCTAGGTTTGGTGAACGGCCTCCTGTCCGTAGGCACCCAGGGCCTGCGCCTAGACCTCCAGGAGGGCAGGAAGTAAACCAGGGTAATAACCAGGGGAATGACACAAACGACGACGATAGTGAAAGCGAGGAGGAAGAAGAGTACTATCCCACTAGGTCTCCCAGTCCCCAGAGGACACCCAGCCCGAATCGCTCAGATCCACCCAATTGGAGCTCGGACGAAGAGCACATCAATGATCGACGGCCCGATACATCTCGAACAATCTGGCACCGGGCAATTGAGAACCCGAACGGTTCTGATATTATGAGATGGCTCAATGAACATTCGGACGTGTCACCAAGGACAAGGACTAATTTCAATAGACGCAACCACCCCGAGAGCATTACGCCTCTACGCGCTGCCGCCAAAGGAAACCAGCCAGCAACTATCAAATGGTTCTGTGACCAATACGGGTTCGGGGAATTAGCACGCACAGACGCAGCACTTTACGCCGCGCTCAATATGAACGCCAACTGTGTGCAGATTCTCGATATCGTCCTGTCTCGTCTTGACAGAGAAGCCTGGCGTGATGCCGAAGGCGTCAAAAGAATCTATTGGTACATCATCATCGCGTACAATCGAGCCCATATGGAGTCGACCACAGAGCTGCCGCGTGGATCGGAAAGAGAGACAAGGACGAGCAGGTTGAGAGAGGCCACAAAGGAGAAACTTCGCGTGCTCAATCAGAGATTGAGACCGTTTTGGGATACTTTCCGAGAGTCGGTTCAAATTCACTGGCTGCTTCGGTTCGCTGAGCTACAAGAGGAGACATGGATTAGACAAGGTGTCCTTCAGCTTGAGATCGAAAGGTCTTTCACCGATGACTTTGAACAAGGTGCTGCGTTTTGGCGTGCTTCGTATGGCCATGGGCTGGTTACCAATCGGTAGGTAGAGCCATAGTCTTGTTCATTCTGTTGGGAGATGGAGGCTCCCATATATCTATTGTATTTGACTTTTGTTGTTTATTTGGGTTTGTTGAGCTCTAGTAAGAAGCAAATGGCGGTGCTATCGTGACTTCAATATATGTTCACATAGTTCGGATGTCCGAATTAGGGCACGGCTCTATGGCCCAAAACTATTTAAAAGTGACATATTGCTTTAAGCAGCCTTGAGCAGCTTGACTCAAGTTTTAGACGGCATTAAGAATGAGGAGTATATCTTAGTGCTTTTCAAAAAGGTTGTTTTGTCGGTTGTCGTCGATTTATACATAGGCATAATCATCTGCGTAATATTTTATAGCTGATGTATTAGCCTACAGGCAAATTGAAGATCCATGAAGAGCTTAACGTCTATATTCACAGATATTAGGCACATAGATATGTTAACAGTGCCCTAACGTTATTTGATGTAGGGTTGAAGGTAATGTACTACGGCGAGGCATAACAACCACCGACGCAGCAATGAAGCCTCACCTGGGCAACTCGACTTGACCTTCCGATTCAATTTCTCCTTTCCCTTTTCTCAGCTGACGTCCCTCCTGAGAAAGGCCCGGAATCCCTTGCGCGCACAATTTATCTTCGAAGCCCGAGATTCGTTCTTTGTAGGCGGTCGCGGAACTCGTTGATTGCCCGCAGAGCTCAATTGTCTGCTTCCCTACTCTCCGATCGCGCCTACACATCACCTCAATCACAAAGAATCGATCTGACGCCGTTCGGACCAGGCTGTTCTCTTGAAAACAATCCGGGACAGTCTAACTTCCAGCTACATCTAATCTTTTTACCCGACCACAGCGCGATTTCCCTGGCTTGGGTACGTGCTCTCTCTTGACCTTTCACTTGTCGGCTTACACTGACTCAGGCTGGCATTGTATAGAAACGCTCTCATACCCCGAATCGCTGTCCCAATTTGTCCACAGCGCGACCACATTTCTATTGATACCCTGTACGACGCGAATCTCGACGATGTCCAACTTTCTCAACCAGGACTTCGGGTCCGAGGATGAGGACGATGACTTCAACCCCGCCCCCCATGAAGACTCCGATGCCGAGGAGCCCAGAGCCAAGGTCAGTCTGCCACGTACCGAGCTTTGGTAAGCACGATGGCTAACAAAGGAGTGCAGCCCGCCAAGAAAGAGAGATCTGGCGGCGACGGCGCGAATGAGGACGATGTGAAATACGGACGCGACTCCCACGACGAAGAGGATGATGCCAAAGACGTCGAGGAGGACGACGAGGAGGGCGACAACCAAGCAGAAGATGATGACGAGGAAGACGAGGAAGAGGATGAAGAAGAGGCAGTGGTGCGTTCTCTACGACTGGCCTCATGCTGGGCCTCTGTTAACTTGTTTTCTCATTATAGAGCCATCGCCCGCGTAAGAGAATGAAGGCCAACCCTTTCATTGAAATCGAAGCCGGTGTCGATGAAGAAGAGGACGAAGCCGAAGATGAAGAGGATGAGCTCGCCGAATTTGGCATGGAAACCCACCCCGATGATCTCGATGTGCTACCCGGAGGCACCGAGACAGATGACCGCCGTCACCGACAATTGGATCGCCAGCGCGAGATTGATGCCAGCATGGACGCAGAGAAGCAGGCACAGATGCTTAAGGAGCGATACGGACGGAACCGTGCGGCAGCTTCAGATGCGCTCGTCATCCCGAAGCGACTTCTTCTTCCTAGTGTGGAGGATCCCAGTATTTGGGGTTGCCGCTGCAAACCTGGCAAAGAGAAGGAAGTCGTCTATTCGATCCAGAAACGTATTGAAGAACGCCCAGCAGGCTCCCGCAACCCGATTCGTATCATTTCAGCCTTTGAGCGTGGCAATGTTATGCAGGGTTGGTTCTACTGTGAAGCCCGCAGACAGGCGGATGTCACCGAGGGTCTGGAGGCCATCAACTTCTACTATCCATCCCAGAAGATGACCTTGGTTCCCGTGAAGGAAATGCCTGATCTTTTCCGTGTTCAAAAATCCGAAGAGCTTTTGCCTGGTGGCTGGGTCCGTATCAAGCGCGGCAAATACTCGGGTGATTTGGCACAGATCGAGGAGGTTGAAACAAATGGACTGAATGTCACTGTTCGCCTTGTTCCTCGACTGGACTACGGAATGAACGACGATGCTCTTGGTGCCCCTGCAGCTGAATCCAAGCGCAAGCGTGGTCTAACTAATACTGTTCGCCCTCCCCAGCGCCTCTTCAGCGAGGCAGAGGCAAAGAAGAAGCACGCAAAGTACCTGTCGTCAACTTCAGGTCTCGGTGGAAAATCGTGGAACTACCTGAACGACAACTACGTGGACGGCTTCCTCATCAAGGATATGCGAGTCCAGCACTTGGATACCAAGAATGTCAACCCTAGGCTAGAGGAAGTCACAATGTTTGCCCGCGGAGGCGAAGACGGTACTGCTAACCTTGACTTGGCTTCGCTCGCTGAGACCCTTAAGAAGTCCACTGCCGAGGAAGCCTACCAACCGGGCGATCCAGTGGAGGTCTACCGAGGTGAACAGCAGGGCCTTATTGGTCGCACAGTTTCAACTCGAGGTGACATCGTTTCTCTGCAAGTTACCGAAGGTGAGCTGTCTGGACAGACAATTGACGCGCCTGTTCGCACCCTTCGCAAACGATTCAGAGAGGGTGATCACGTCAAGGTCATTGGAGGCAGTCGTTATCAAAACGAATTGGGTATGGTGGTCCAAGTCAAGGACGATACAGTTACTCTACTCAGTGATATGAGCATGCAGGAGATCACAGTCTTCAGTAAAGATCTCCGGCTTTCTGCTGAGATGGCTGCTGATGGACAGCTTGGCATATATGATGTTCACGATCTCGTCCAGCTTGATGCTGCCACAGTTGCCTGTGTCATCAAAGTGGACCGCGAGTCGCTCCGCGTTGTGGACCAGAATGGCTCTGTTCGGAATATTCTGCCCACCCAGATAGCAGCCAAAATCACTCCTCGCCGTGATGCAGTCGCTACTGATAAGAATGGCGCAGAGATTCGACTTGGCGACACTGTCCGCGAGCTCCATGGAGAGCAGCGGAGCGGAGTCATCCGCCACATCCACCGTTCATTCCTTTTCTTGCACAATAAGGCTCAAGCTGAAAACGCCGGTATTACCGTAGTGCGGACATCAAGCGTTGTCACTGTTTCGGCACGAGGCGGCCGACCTGCCGGACCTGACCTGACCAAGATGAACCCTGCCCTGGCTATGCAAACACCTGGCGGTGGTGGTGCTCAAATGCCACCACCTCGTCGTGGCCGCGACAGATTGCTTGGAAAGACAGTAACTATTCGCAAGGGTCGTTATAAGGGACTTGTCGGAATTGTTCGCGATGCAGATGATAGCTCCGCCCAGGTCGAGCTTTACACATCTAACAAGCCCGTTCACATCCCACGGGACATCCTTACCGTCAAAGATCCCATCACCAAACAATCCCTGGATATGGGTGGTGGCCGCGGAAGAGGGTCACGCACTCCATTTGGCTCCTCGGCCGGTCTCCCATCGAGAGAAGGTGGATGGGCCGGTGGTCGCACTCCGATGGCAGCCGCAGACTCCTCCAGAACCCCGGCCTGGGGCGGCGCAGGAGGATCCAGAACTCCTGCTTGGGGGAACGCCAGTGGGTCTCGCACACCAGCATGGAAGAACGATGGCTCCCGCACCTCAAATCCCTACGAAGGAAACCGCACTGCCTACGGAGGAGTGGGCAACCGCACACCAGCCTGGAACTCGGGATCAAAGACACCATACGACTCCAGCTCTGGTTTCGACGCCTTTGCCTCTGGGTCTCGCACCCCCGCCTGGGGCAGTGCCGGCGGAAACACAGGAAACCGCACCCCAGCTTGGGGTGGCCTGTCCAGTAGCCGAGACCAGCGCGACTTCGATGATGCCCCAACACCCGGTGGAGGCTACTCCGCCCCCACACCAGGCGCGTACACTGCACCTACTCCCGGCGCACCAACACCTGGGGCATGGCCGGAAAGTGCCCCCACACCCGGCGGTGTTTTCAGCGCACCAACCCCTGGCGGCCCTTCGAAGCGTGACTATGACGCTCCTACTCCTGCGGCGTATGACGCGCCAACTCCTGCCATGGGTGGTGCGGCTGCTACGCCCGGCGCTGGATATGGTGGTAATGATAACGGACCTCGATATGATGACTCGCCGAGTCCGTGATCTAACCCTTAAAGATTTCCTTTTCTTATGTTCTACTTCTTTTCCGGCACAAAAGGCTTGTCCCTTCCATCTGCTATTTTTTCCCTCCTTCAAGGTATCTAGGGTTGGATCGGCTTTGCATATGTATTCTACTTGTTGAAATTATTTCCCCAGAGCAGCAGTCAACAGCAAATGAATAATCATTCTAGCTGAATTTCTTTCCCAACCTTAAGACGATGTAGTTACGGAATAGTCTTATAGAACAAAAAATTGATTTCTCATTCCAAATACAAACGCAAAACCAAAATCACTGGACTATCAATTAGTTATTTCTTGCCGTACACAGCCAACGCCTTGTCAATTATATCAGCTGCCCAGAGACACTTCTCATCCTGAAATCGGGGTGTGATGACTTGGATAGCACAAGGTGCGCCATCGACTTCGTCGGGGATATCTATCTTTAATCAGCACTATAATCAGCATGAAATGAAAGAAAGAAGGGACATACAGTTGGGCTGAACATCGTCTAATGTATTCATCGGCTCTGGATCAAGTTCTTTGGATGCTTTCCCATATGGGATTATGCACGCAGGATACTATATCCAATTGTTAGTAATGTCCTTCTAATGAATGGATTGTGAGTAGGAAAGAGGATAGAGGAAGAAAGACTTACATCCAACAAGTTCCACATAACAGTATAAGGAGGCCATCCATAAGTATCATAACCAACAGCAGTATTCTGAGCCCCGGGAGCCAAGATAACATCGAGCTTCTGATCAACCCAAGTTTGCCGCCAAGCATCATGAACC